GGAAGATGGAAATGAGAGAGAACACCTGTTTGATCTGGAACTTCAAATCCAAAAGTTCAAAGGTCAAATGAGCTCACTCCAAATGCTGTGTGATATCGGGGAGGCGTCCATAGACCAGATGCAGACAACTCTGAATGAACTTGACAATATCAGAACTGTTTTTGAACGTACTCGGACAAGACTGAATGATAATAAAAATACTGATCAGGTTCCAAAGTAAGAAACAAAACTGTTATGTTCTGTAAATCTTTGTCAAAAATCTGTAAAATAAAATAAAGAAAAAACTGAATTATTAAAATAATAAAAATTTGTTTATTTGGCACTTTGGCATACAGTGAATTGTGAGTCAAATCCAGACTGATATCTGTATTATTTAGAGTCTGGCCTTCTGGAGCAGACCCTGAAGCCGCCACCATTAAGAGTTTCAACCAAAGCCAGCCAACAATTTTGTACGCCAAATTAAGCTGCCAACTAATACAATTTGGCTGAGCCAGCTAGAATTATGTGCATCAAATAATAATTCTATCCATCTCATAGAGAGGTACATGAAAAATAACCAACAAACAAAATCAATCACAGTGCACAGCCAAGCGCAAAGTTTACAGAGCAGAATCTGAGCTGCAACACAACGTAACACACCGCCACAACCCGATCCAACAACATCAGCAAAACTACAATAAGAGGCTACGATCACAACATAAACACATCATAAACACATCAGGGCCGCTCTTACAACACACTATAAAACACTGGAGCAGCTCCGTCGCACTTACAAGCTCATTTATGCATTTATACAGCTGTGAGGCTCCGTCCTCAGATTTGCCAAACTAATGAAAACAAGCCTCTTACTTTCTCCAGAGGACTGAAGCGGAGTGCATCCTCTATCTGCTGTGCTTGGTTCTGCATTATTGTCCAATATGAAGAGATCAATCTAAGTCCCCGTCCAGTCAGGTCTGTGACACAAGGTCCGGGAGCCGAATGCACGAGCTGGTTTCTAAAACTAGCCTTAATCCCACTTCCCACTTAAATATGAACGTTACACCAGTCCATATTAGCAGCAGAGCACCAGGTGGATTCATGCCCTTTGTGCGCTATGCCCAGGTCAAACTTTTCTGCCCAGAAACGAGCAGCGAGCAGCAGCGAGCGAGTGCCCCGGGAGTGGGAGCCACGGGTTCTGGCTGCGGGTCTGTCCGCTGTTTTGAGTACCCTAGCTAGCTGCCATTAGCCAGTGTGTGAATCAAAATAAGAGCCGTAGGATATGTCCATACTGATGCTGCATATTGAGATCTTGTAATCAGTAGAATATAGACGATAGACTATAGGCATGAAATGACAACTTCAGCAATTTGTAGCCATGAACATTTTGGTGGCTGCAACAGCCATTTAGGCTTTGGCTGAGCTGGCAAGCCAGAGAATAATATAAACAGCCGGCCATTATTCTCAAAAAAACAGCTTCATGGTCTTCCATTCAGATTTGTTTATTCAGTGATGCAAGTGTAACAAAGAAGCTCATTGGCCACCCACTATTTGAATGCTTTTCAGTCCCTGTGATATTTTTCCCCCTTTCTTTTCCACCCGTAAGCAGCCATATTTGTTTTGAACACTTTGAAGTCTCAAAGCGAGTCACTTTATTCTAGACAGGAAACACCTGGCGTGAGATTCCTTGTTATTAGCTAGTTTTTTTTTAGCTTCACCACAGTCTTTGTGCTTTGAGATTGAAAATCTTTTGCGATTCTCCTCGTGTCTGTATTTTTTATCTTTTAAGACAATAAATCCTGTGTAGTGTGGCAGGGTTAAAGAGCTGTGGACTTGGGGAGCTTGCCCCTCCCTCTGACCCTGTCCCCCTCAGGCCCCTTCTCTGACCCCTGAGAGGAGGTTGAGGACCCCCCAGTTTTCTGACTGTTGTGTGCCCCTTTGATTAAGCAATGAGAAGTAATTTAGCAAGTTTCCTTACACCAGAATGCAATTATTATTATTTTATGGCAGTTATGCAATGAACCAATGTTATAAAACGATATTGTTTCATATGGAGCAGAGCTGTGGACTTTTATTGGCTGATATCATGAGACAGAAGATTGAAGCTTGCTTTGCTCATGTCCATTGTGTTAAACTCTAGAAGATTATTTTAATTTTAATCTTCACTCACAGATGTTTTTCCTCTCAGCTGTTCTCTATCTAGACACATTTTTAATTCTGAAATTCTCTTTATTCTAAACTAAAGTGCATTTGAGAGATTCACATATTTGTATAATGCCTCTTTTGTTTGGTGGTGAGGGACAGAATGTATAATATCACGACTCTCTTTGAACATACTCTGAAAAAACTAAACTATTAATATTCTGTATATAAAATTCTGAAATTTGGCACAAAAAATAGAACATGTTGGGACATTTAAAAAATGATATTGTAGCCCCAAACAGGAAGTCTACCATACTGGATCAAACAATGACAAAATGACAAAAGCACACAGCAGCCAGGACATCAGGACATCTCACACAGTTCTCATCACGCTTTTAATCTGGCCAGTGACACTAAACCCACATGCAATTAAAGATTAAATACCTTATACCAAATATAAAATACATTTTGAACATGAATTTGGGTATGGTCATGGTGAAAAAATTCATAGCAGACATGAATTTATGAAAAGAATCACTGGAGGCTTATTGGTGATGAGGCACAAAGCGACAAAATCACAGGAGTCAGAATTTGTCTCACTGGATTGAATGGAGTAGTAACATAATATACACTGATTTTGGTAGCAGTGAAGTAGGCGGGAATGAGTTAGGCTTTCCTCTATTATTTGACACCAGTCTTTTGCTATCTGTGCTATTTATTTAGAATTTATGATTATAATTTACAATTTCGGCTCTTTGTTCTAATATATTGTGATTTATGAGCTCCTGTGTCCAAATCATTTCTCTTGTGTTTTTATTTTCGTATTCTGCTCATGAATGATATGAGTTTTGTTTTGTAAATCTTTGTTGTAAAATAAAAGTAAATCAGCAGAATCAGAAAATGGAAATTGTAAATAAAAGTAAATAAGTAAAGTAATAAAAATAAGTAATAAAAATTGGTTTATTACTCTATTACTCTGCTCTATATCTACTTGGACTTCAGACTTTGAGGAGCACGCTGGTATGAAGTGATATGTTTTCTTTTATTTTTTCTCCTCGTAAGCGACCATATTTGCGTGTTCCTGATTGGCTCATCCACCTGTCAATCATTTGAAAATCTGCGCATTTGAAAAAACGAGGAGATTCACCGGTGACCAGACTCACAACGTCAGCAATTATTGGGGAAGCGTTTAAATTCATTTTGTACTTTTGTCACAAAATGTACCCCCAGCCTGATGTCACTGCCAAGTTCCTTTATTCGTGTATTAAACGCCCTCCCTGTTTCCTCGATGTGTGATTTATTGCAGGACACGCAGGGTATTTCGTGTATGACATTACATTTATCCTCTGGTTCCAATTCCTGTTTAAATCAGCTGACCAGACACGTCACAGCAAAATCACGAGACTCTGAGGAAGACGCTAGTGAGCAGTCGAAACTGTCAGGTATGAAAACAAACTCTTGGTCTGAAAAAAAGAACCTAATAACATAAATTATCGGAAGACCAAATGAACCTCATTGGACTACTGATATCACCTCGTCCCAGATTCATTCACGCTGGACCAAGGCGGCGGCTTTGTTAATGCGTTCGTTCCAATAAACAGCGATAGTCAATACAAATTCTGTCATTCTATATGTATGACCTGCAGTTAAGTCTGTAACAATAATCAATAAATCAATTAATCATACGATAACTTTTAATGAGCTTGATAACTTTTCCGGCCGCGATAAATTCTATTTGCAGCTTGTTTGTTTTCCTCGCTCTCAGAGACTGACTGTTAGAAGCTTCTGTCTCTCTCTGACTCCTCTCGTTTAACAATCGTAATGACGCTTGAACCAACGTGCGCTGTGTTTATCAGCACAGCGGATGCGCGTGCAGCCTGAGTGCAGAAAACGTCGCTGTCTGTGCGACGAACATGGAGCCGCAACACAAGCGCCGCCGTCAGAGTGACAAAACGGTTCATCGTAGTGTGACAAAACAGGTCACGATGCCGAATCAGCACTGGTGAGCGGGACATGTCTTAGCGGTCCACAGAACTAGCCTCGCCCCCAGGAGAACCCAAAATCCACTGAAATCCCACAAAACACCGACAGGATACCAGACAGAACAGAGTCTCCCTCATAGAGAAATAGGATCATGTGTCGCGGGTTAAAACGAACATTTCAATGACCAAAATGACGAGGCCACAGCAGCAGCCACAGAGAGACGAGACACAATATTCCAGTGTAAATCAGAGACTAAAATCACTTTTAAGGACAATTTTGTTATAGAGACTTAATAATCAATTGTATTTATTGTTTTGGTTGTGTTTGGTTCAACAATGTTTTATTCAAGTGGATTTTTGTGAACAAGTCGTCGCTGTAAACCAGACACATTAGACTGTGTTAACAAGTCTGTTTTATTTAGGCCTGTTGTTTGTGTTTGTCTTACACTTCCTGTGTTAAATGTTCTTTAGAAAGTCAAGTTTATTGATCATTGAGAAGATGTATTTGCATTTTTATTCCATGTTCATTATATTAGTTGAAATTGGTCTCAAAATGTCAATATTATTGTTTATCGCAATAAATTCTTGGTCAATTAATGGTCCAACAAAATCTGTTATCGTTATAGGCCTAGCCGCAGTATCGTGACGCCGGGAACATCGGTGCCTTTCAGTTAGAGGTATCGCTTTTCCGCTGGGAAAAATTAGCCACTGGGGAAAAGCAATAAGTTTTGAAAATAGAAGCATCGATGTTTCCCGGGGGAACATGTGGCAAGCGGTTTTCCCATGTCCATTTATAAACACAGTCTGTGTCTGGACCTGGACGAGTGAGGATCACACACACACACACACACAACACACACACACACACACACACACACACACACACTGTTGTTCATTTACCCCTGTGGCCAGCTCCTCTCTCTGCTGCCTCTTGGTGATCAGGTCCTGGGTGGACACCTCCAGCTCAAACTGTGTCAGCTCATGTTTCCTGCACACGGCTCTGAAAAACACAACACCTGCTTCAACACTGTTGCCATAGTAACAAAAGAGGGAGTATTATACTTCTGTGGGCTATTAATTGAAACACATGAACACATGTTTACATCATCATGTTCCTTTTATTGTTTTCAAAATGCTCTATTCACTCAAAACAACAGATTAACATGCTTTATAAGTTTGCAAACACAAACAAACACATTTTTAAACATGCATAGATGACTCGAAAAACATCTTCAGACGGGTTTTTGATACCTGGAGAGGTTTAGTCCTGGTTTAGACCTGGTTTAGTCCTGGTTTAGTCCTGGTTTAGACCTGGTTTAGACCTGGTTTAGTCCTGGGTTAGTCCTAATTAAGACCTGGTTTAGACCTGGTTTAGTTCTGATTTAGACCTGATTTAGACCTGGTTTAGACCTGGTTTAGTCCTGGGTTAGTCCTAATTTAGACCTGGTTTAGACCTGGTTTAGTCCTGGTTTAGACCTGGTTTAGTCCTGGTTTAGACCTGGTTTAGACCTGGTTTAGTCCTGGGTTAGTCCTAATTTAGACCTGGTTTAGACCTGGTTTAGTTCTGATTTAGACCTGGTTTAGACCTCTTTTAGTCCTGGTTTAGTCCTGGTTTAGACCTGGTTTAGTTCTGATTTAGACCTGATTTAGACCTGGTTTAGATCGGCTTTCATCCAGGTTTTTGATGCCTGGAGAGGTTTAGTCCTGGTTTATTCCTGATTTAGACCTGGTTTAGTCCTAGTATAGTCCTGTCATCTCTGGTTTAGTTCTGGTTTAGTCCTGGTTCAGTTCTGGTCTGGTTCTGGTCTAGTTCTGGTCTGGTTCTGGTCTGGTTCTGTTGTCGTGGTTCTGTTGCCGTGGTTACCTGAGGGCCTCGGCGTAGGACAGATATTCTTTGAGTTGGTCGGCGTAGTGCTCCTCCTCCTCCAGGATGTCGTCAATCGAAGCTGCAAACCTGAAAACACAAAACTTTATTAAACCAAAATTTATACAAACACCAAAAACAAAACACAAAAAAGTTTAAAAGTCCTTTAAGTCCATTTAGTCCAAGTTACTGACTGGTTTAGACCTGACTCCTGTTTAGTCCTTAGTCTGTTATTCTGTTTTAGTCCTGGTTTAGTCCTGGTTTATCAGTCCTGGTTTAGTCCTCTTTTAGCTGGTTTATCCCTCCTGTTTAGACTGGTTTAGTCTGGTTTAGTTTTAGTCCTGGTTTAGTCCTGTTTTAGCCCTGTTTTAGTTTAGTCCTAGTTTTAGTTTACCTGTTTTAGTTTAGTCCTGGTTTACCTGGTTTAGTCCTGGTTTAGTCCTGGTTTACTGGTTTAGTCCTGTTTAGTCCTGGTTTAGGTCCTGGTTTAGTCCTGGTTTAGACCTGGTTTAGTCCTGGTTTAGTCCTGTTTGTTTACTCACTCACGCGTCCATGTGGTGTCCTGCGCTCTGAAGTCCGTCTCCCATCTCTCTCTCGATGGCGCTCCACTCGCTGAAAACACAAAAACATCCTGAATTTTAAAAAAACAAAACTCTTTCTTCATTTATCCAACCACAACATCTGGGAGGGCATCTGACACATTTACACAAACCTGAAGACTCGTCCGTAGTTCCCGTGCACTTTGTAAACTCCGTAGAGCCGATCTGCCACTCTCTGAAAAGAAAGAAAGGAGAAAGTAATCTAAAGGTGCACTGCGGAACCTTTCTGATCCACGGTCGGGTCGTCAAAAGTATCGAAAATCAGAACGGAAAGAAAAGAAAGAGTGTTTTTTATTATGATGAGTATCACGTTTATCATCGAAACTTTGAAGGACAAACAAAAGCAAACAAAGCAACAACAAAAAAAAACTCTCACACTCAAAAAAGAACCAGCCTTTGCTACTGAAATTTAAGACATTTGTAAAAAAAAATAAGACTTGGACAACATCATTTAAGACGTTTTAAGGTCTTAATTTAGGAACATGAAATTTAAGACCTTTTTTAGACTTTTAAGACCCAACGGCTGCCCTGAGAAAGCGTCAAAACTGTCTTTTCGTGGACCGTGTACGAGCAAGTATTTGTATCTCTGCTGTTTCCTGTTGGTCTGTGGTTTGTTTAAACTGTTTTCCTCAACAGCGTCACATGACCGACTCACGAACCCAGAGAATCAGGAAAGAACGAGTCACAGTGACGTGTCCAATAGAGACTTTGCACCGTCACGTGTCGCCGTGGCAACAGTACCGCACACTATGTCACTGACTTCAGCAGCGTCGGAGAAACATGGGCAGGTTTTGTTGTGTATTTGGTTGTTCTAGACGCTCTGAAAGGAATAAAACGATTCGTTTCTTCACTGTTCCTCTGGAATTGACTCATCAGGATCAAACAAGGGAATTATTGAAAAAAAAAGACGTGAATTATGTCGAGAAACATAAACCACGAAGAGATTTCCTGTGACAAGACACACTCACGTCACTTTCATCAAGGTATTTGTTATTTAAATAGTTTCATAGTTTATTTAATGAGAGAAGCACATTTACTGAACTAAAATGTAAAAAGAAAACATTTGCAGTGTGAGTGGCAGTAGAAACTGTATGTTCCAGCACATATAAACATGTCACTCGTCGTAGGACCATGTTTTTTTTATTGTCTTGTTTATCCACAACTTTGTCTTCTTGAATTAATCTCTTTTTGTGAGTGGATCTTTTCTAACGTTCACGAGGATCTTTTTCATGGTCCGATTCTTTTCGAGGTTTCGTCTCACAGACTCTTTCGACTCGTGCGTCGTGTTGATCACAGGAGCTCAGTGTGGGTTGTCTCTTTCCAAACGCTCTTAAAGGACGATCGTTTTGACTGTTGACCGTGACACCCTCATCAGAAAAATGTCCAACATGAGAAAAGTGGAGCCGAGTGCAGGATTTTACAACAAAAAATGGACTTATTCCTGTTTACAGACAAGTTCATGTTAAAACATTGTGTTGAAATTGAATTTTTCTTAAAGTTGCAGGTTGTTCATAATTATATATATTATAATAAGAAAGAGTTCATCAATTAAAAAAGATTTCTGTAATAGATTTGCGTTTCTCTGCACAAATATTTGAACTTATTGTTATTTTTGGGGTTTATATGACATGAGTTTTCTGATCCGGACACTTTGGGATCAAAGTCGGTTGGATACGACCCCCGGACCAAAATGAGTTTGACACCCCTGCTTTAGTCCAGCGATCGGTCAGTGGTGTCCTTAGTCGTCCAACACTTTTATTTGTCACTTGTCATTTTATTTGGGAGAGAAATCATGAGTTTAGATCTGCTTAATAGTTTTTTGTTTTAACTTTCATGCAGGGTCATATACATGATCAGATCATAATAGTTTTGAATGTTGTGGCCACGCCCCTTTTTAATTGGCTAATTGATTGTGAGGACACGTCTTTAGTCGAGCAAGAACGTTTTTGTGGACCTATACTAGTACATTTAAGCTTTTGTAGTTTGTTGAATATTTAGTTTAACTCTTACCCCATGAAGACGACATTTGACGACCCTCCCTTGTTTCCTTAATGACGTCTTTTGACGCCTCTGCTGTATCACTAAAGACGTGATTTGACGACCATTACAAATGGCTCGGTTTTTCACATGGTCCCGGTCAAGCAGAAGTAAACAGCAAGGCAAAAAATTCAAGTTAATGCATCTGACATAAAAATGTATTCAACAGATACATATGTACTCTAGTTTATCAAACTGTTGACCTTTTTTCTGTATCATTTTTGGTTCTAAAGTTACATACATTTTAAACAGATCATGTTTAACAAAATTTTGTTCCCAAATTTCACAGACCTGCAAATCATGTAAATAAATGGATGTATTTCATCATATCTTGTGTTATTCCATCTTTGAACTGTTGATGAAGGACATGATTTAAAAAAAAAAAAAAAAGTATTTAAAATGAAAAAAATTTGCTTGGAAGGACTGACATATTTTATAGAGATAGTTTCCTATTATTAAAGTATTCGGAAGAAAAAAGCGACAAATGATGTAAAATCCTGCACCTTCTACTTGTTTGAACAATTTTCCCTCCGTTACTTTTCCCTCCGTTACCATGACCTTTCTTAATAAAAAATCTCATGAGTCAAAAAGTAAGAGGTTTTTCAACCTAATCTTGTACCATATGGTAGAAAACTATATGAAGCAAATATTCAAACCAGTTTGTTAAGGATATGTAAGTGAGAACCAAGAGTTATCACTGTTTGGATTTATTGCCCAAAAAAGTGCTGCATATTTCATTCCCTCCGTTACCGACATGAATTTTTTACATTTTTGAACGGCCAGGTCGCATTCAGCTGACCTACACGTTATCAACAAGCCACAAATGTACACAAACATTCTTCTCGTCATACGAAAATATTTAATGAACTCCGTGTCACTGAAGCGAAGCACATCGCAATCCAACCACTCTTGACTACGTCTCCACATCCACACGTTCCTTTCAACGCACAACAAGTAAGTTGTACATGTTCTGGCTCCGGTACAAGAGGAACTTTAAAATCTATTAAACTTTTTTTTTTTTTTTAAATAGAAATAATGTGGAATAATCACATACGAAAATATGTTTCCAAATACTATTCATAAAAAGATCCAGATCTTGGCAGGAGAACTCTCTTTGTGTGGTGTCGGTCATATTGTGAGGTTGGTCGTCTGCACAGAGAAAAGCACGTGGAGACGACAGACGCTTCAAACACCACAAAAATACATATTTAACCTTTAAAAACACTTTCAAATAAATCTGTGATATACTGGAATTCATATGTAACTAAGGCAACTATGGAATCACCTGACCTGACCTGATCACATGACAGCACCTGGCAACACCTGGCGTCACCTGGCAACACGTTCCACATTCTATTTCTACTTTATGACATCATAAAGCTTCACTTGTTCATTTATATAAGTGTAGCACAAGTTCCAGTGTAAAATCACTTCTATTCAGACTTCGACCGAGACACAGAGACTCACCACAGACAAACATGCCCAAAGACTGGTGCGATTACACTAGTGAGGACGACGAACTCCTGTACAGCCAGGAGTTCAACCTGATGGAGGCGTTGGGATTAACACCTACCAACCCACATCAGGCCTCTGGACCAGCAGAACAGGTGGTCCACACCTTTCAAAATCCTCAAGAGTTTCTAACTCTTGAGGAGTTAGAACGGGAGCAGCTTGGACCTCAACACCACCAGAGGTCCAAGGAGGACGAGGAGAAGGGCATGGCTTTAGTCATGTCTCGACTCCAGGCTGCCTCAGCTGCTCAGGCCAGAGCCAGAGAAGATCTGTTCATCCAACCAGATGAACTGAACAACCAGCCTCAGTCCCGAGATATTGAGGGACTGGAGAAACAGGTCGCTGACCTGACAGCGCTGTTGCAGCAACACGAAGACGATTCCTGCAGAAAATCAGCAGAGTGGAAAACGGAAAAGCAGAGACTCCAGCAGGACTCTGCTGATCTGAATTCTAAACTCCAGGAAAAAGTCTTTGGAAAATACTGCTCTGAGAGAACGCAACTCTCACCTGGAGCGTATTGTGGCCCAACTTGAAAAAGACAGGTCATCTCTGGAGCTCAGACACCAAAAGGAGGCTGAGCTGAAGGCCCAGAAGCTCCAGGAACTCGAGAACATGCAGACACAGGTCCAAAACATTGTGCAGACCCGTGAGAAGCTGCAGGACTGCCTGAGGAGGTCTCAGGAAGAGCACTCCATCCTCAAAAAAAGGTACGGGGCTCTGAAGAAGGATCTGATGCAGGAGGTGGAACAAAGGAGAAAAAACAACATTGCTGAGCTCCAGAAAGAAAATGCCACCATTCTGAAGTCCTGCCAAGAGCTAAGCTTAAGAGCGCTCCCTGCTGGAGAAGAAGTGCAGTGGACTAGAGGAGCTACTCAGGACCTCAGAGAAAGAGTGCTCCCTGCTAGAGACAAAGACCACTGCACTCCAACAGCAGGTCGAGCAGGACAAACTGAACAGAGACGACCTGCTCAATGAAAAGGCCGCCCTGTTGAGGACCTGCGATGAGCTAAAATTACAGCTCTCGGTGCAGGTCGAGACATGTGATGCGGTGCAGCTAAAACTGAGGAGGTGTGAGGAAAAGAACTTCCTGCTCATTGCAAATAACTGTGCTCTAGAGCAGGAAGTGAAAGAGGAAAAACATGGCAGAGCACAGTTAGAAAATGAGAAGGCCACCATGTTGAACACCAGTAAAGACCTCGAGGCAGAGCGCTCCCTGCTGGTGGACAGGTGCGGCGCACTGGACCACGCCCTGGCTACAACTCAGGAAGAGCTCTCCCTGCTGACTGTAAAGAACAGGGCTCTACACCAGCAGGTAGAGCAGGAACATCACATGAAGACTGCTTTAGAGGAAGAGAGAAAATAGCTCTGGTAAACACCCGTGAGAAGCTGAACACAGAGCTCTCCCTACTGCTCCAAAGATTCAGCGCCTTGGAGGAAAAGCAGAGGAGCACAGAAAGACAGCGCTCCCTGCTGGAGGAGGTGAGCACGGCGCTGGAGCAGGAGCTGGAGATGGAACGGAAGAAGAGAAAGAGGAGGTGGTACAGGAGGCTCCTGGGCATGTAGAGCCTCTCTCACCCCCCTCACTGTTCTGCACTTGAACAATAAAACATAACAAAAAAAAAACTTCATGTTGTATTTGTCTTTCTAAACTGTAGTAATAGTAATAGTAATAATATTAGTAAACAGACAGATGTATTGCATATATATTTTCAAACACATTCCCTTTTCCACATTTTGATTTAGGAATTTTTACATGTGCATTGATAAATACATGTATGTGGCTTGTAATCCTTTAGTCCACAGGTGTCAAACATAAGGCCCGGGGGCCAGATCTGGCCCCCCAAGACCTTTAATGTGGCCCTTGGCTGATTTTCTACAAAAATATTTGAATTATATTTTCTATTAAAATCTTGTTAATTTTCTGTGGTGTTTATCACAGCAGCGTCTCCAGTGTCTCTGTACGTGGCCCCTCCCACCAGAGCAGCACAAATGAAGACTTGTCTCTTTCCAAACGCTCTTAAAGGACGATCGTTTTGACTGTTGACCGTGACACCCTCATCAGAAAAATGTCCAACATGAGAAAAGTGGAGCCGAGTGCAGGATTTTTACAAGAAAAAATGACTTATTCCTGTTTACAAACAAGTTCATGTTAAAACATTGTGTTGAAATTGAATTTTTCTTAAAGTTTCAGGTTGTTCATAATATTATAATATTATAATAAGAAAGAGTTCATCAATTAAAAAAAGATTTCTGTAATAGATTTGTGTTTCTCTGCACAAATATTTGAACTTATTGTTATTTTTGGGGTTTATATGACATGAGTTTTCTGATCCGGACACTTTGGGATCAAAGTCGGTTGGATACGGACCCCCGGACAAAATGAGTTTGACTCTCCTGGTCTAGAAAAACCAAATACACAACAAAACCTGCCCATGTTTCTCAGACGCTGCTGAAGTCAATGACATAGCGTGCCCGGTGTCATGGGGGCCTAGGTACTGTTGCCATGGCGACACGTGGCGGTGCAAAGCCTCTATAAGGACGAGACTCGAGCTCCTACATCAGAGGATCAGAGTTTTCAGGAGTCACACAGTCCCCATCACATCTGGACCAACATGAACTCATGGAGCTGGAGGCACCAGATCGTTCAGACTCTGGAGATGTTTTCCATCGGATTAGTGTGAATAAACACTGCATCTGCTATGAAAACAACTCACATACACACTAGTGTGAACGGGGCCTTAGTGAACTACTGAACAAACCCAAGGAGACACTTACGGCTCGCGCTCGGAGCAGCTGAGACGTGTGGGACTGGAGCTCGTCGCTGTAGTGCTTCATCTCCACAAAACGCCTAAAAACAGAAACAAATGTAGAGAAAGAATCACTGCTGATACTTCACATCACGCTGGGGGTGTTCTACATTTATCTACGTGGTGAAATGTTCAGCTGTTACCACGGTGACGCACTGCATACATTAACAACATGTTCAACAGCACAGATCAGATCACCTGCTCTAGTTCAGATACGTCAGGTCTTTCTGTTCAGGTTGTGTTAAAACAAAACTCAGATTAAACTTGAGTGACAGAGTTTCAGACAGAGCAGTGCCTCCAGTTAGCAGTAGTCAACAGTTGATGACACAGTATCAGCAGCTTTAATGTCCTGTGATGTGACTCACTTGTCGGGGTTCCTGACCCTGAAGGTGGCGCTGAGAGCTCGGAGTCTGGAGTCGGCCTGGACACACACACGAGTGTCTGAGGGTCAGAACTCATTTAAACTGTTTCTGTGATCAGGGACGGGGATATTTTGGTTCCAGGATCATATCGGCCGATATTGATACTCAATACCAATATTTTTGTGCTCTGTTTTTTTTGAACAGACTAATAACAGACTAATGAGTAAAAATGTAAATAAAAGAGAGTTATATGGCTGTATGTGACACAAAAATGTGACTAATTATTTCATTTTCAGATGAAAACATTCTGTTATTATTTTTACAAAAGTGAAAAGTGAATTTCTGATCCATTAATTTAACTTAAAATACATTTTACAGTATATTAATTTTATAGTATATTTATCAGTATTGGCAAATATCGGTTATTGGCCACAGCAACAGATCGAATATCTGATATCAGCTCAAAAATAAATAAATAAATAAATAAATAATTTAAAAGATCTTATATCTGTCCGTCCCTAAATATAAATTGATAGAGTTAATGTGGACGTGCCTTGGCCTGAAATCCAGTGTCGTACACGGCCTCCTTCCACCCGACCTCCTGGAAAAACAAAACACATCAAATATACACAAAATATACAACATAAGATATACAACATACACAAAACACATCAAATATATAAAATACACAAAATATACAAAATACACAACATAAACAACATATACAACATACACTAAAATATACAAAATACACATTCAAATGTTTTGGTTTGTTATTTTTTTGTTTTATTCTGTGGCCTTAAAGCTGCACTGTGTCACTTTCTGCTGGAGGGTCCGTCACCTGTTTGTTTCTATGGAGACGTCACTGCTCTGTCTGGAATGTTCCACAGTGTGACTTTAAACAGCTCTACCTGGTCTAAACCAGGACTAAACCAGGTCTAAACCAGGTCTAAACCAGGACTAAACCAGGACTAAACCAGGACTAAACCAGGTCTAAACCACAACTAAACCAGGTCTAAACCAGGACTAAACCAGGACTAAACCAGGTCTAAACCAGGACTAAACCAGGTCTAAACCAGGACTAAACCAGGTCTAAACCAGGTCTAAACCAGGTCTAAACCACAACTAAACCAGGTCTAAACCAGGACCAGGACTAAACCAGGACTAAACCAGGACTAAACCAGGTCTAAACCAGGACTAAACCAGGTCTAAACCAGGTCTAAACCAGGACTAAACCAGGTCTAAACCAGGACTAAACCAGGTCTAAACTAGGTCTAAACCAGGTCTAAACCAGGTCTAAACCAGGTCTAAACCAGGACTAACCCAGGTCTAACCCAGGACTAAACCAGGACTAAACCAGGACTAACCCAGGTCTAAACCAGGACTAAACCAGGTCTAAACCAGGACTAACCCAGGACTAAACCAGGTCTAAACCAGGTCTAAACCAGGACTAACCCAGGACTAAACCAGGACTAAACCAGGTCTAAACCAGGACTAAACCAGGACTAACCCAGGACTAACCCAGGACTAAACCAGGTCTAACCCAGGTCTAAACCAGGACTAAACCAGGACTAAACCAGGACTAAACCAGGTCTAAACCAGGACTAAACCAGGACTAAACCAGGTCTAAACCAGGACTAAATCAAGTGCAGTTTTGTGAACAAGTCCTGGCCGTAAACCAGACACATTAGACTTGTCCTGTGTTAAGTCTGTTTCATTTAGGCCTGTTGTTTTTGTTTGTCTTGCAGTTCCTGTGTTAAATGTTCTTTAGAAAGTAAAGTTTAAAGTCTGTGCTGGCTTCACTCTCTGGTCGAGCCCCAAGCTCCTTACCTCCCTGATACTTTTAATGCATCACACCCAACTTTTTTTTTTAATGCATCACAAGTCAACCAGGGATGAATGTGGGTTCATGTGTGTGAATTGTGTGAGTATGTGTGCAGGCTTGTGTGTATGTGGATGTGCGTGCACATTCCTGTGCAGGCAGGTGTGTGCATGCATGTGTGCGTGTGAATGTATGCACATGTACATATATATCAGGGAGGGGGAGCATTCAGACCGGGAGGTGGTTCATTGGGGGGTGGGCCGGCCTGGTCGATGGGCGACCACATGCGGAGCCCTGGGGGTGGCCCCCGCACCCGCCTTGGGGGGCATGAGTGTGGCTTGGCCTGCTCCCACTTCAGTGGGGATCTGAGGCAAAATGCCAACACACACTTAAACAAATTTTCAATACTCAAATTAAATAGCAATAATACAGGTCAACATTAAATCATCCGCATAGCCTGTCTATCCCCCCGGCACACACACATACACACACACATACACACACACACACGCATATACACACACACAACACACAGACACACACACACACACAGACACGCATATACACACACACACACACACACACATACACACACACACGCACGCATATACACACACACACACACATACACACGCGTATGCACACACATACACACACACATACACACACACACACGCACGCATATACACACACACACGCACAGACACACACACACACACAGACACGCATATACACACACACACACACACAACACATACACACACACACGCACGCATATACACACACACACACACACAGACACGCATATACACACACACAGACACGCATATACACACACACACACACACACAGACAGCATATACACACACACAGACACGCATATACACATACACACACACACAGACACGCATACACACACACAGACACGCACACACACACACACACACAGACACGCACACACACACAGACACACACATAAGGTTCACACTGTCACCAACCCCTGTCATCTTTGTTCCTATTTGTATGTAATGTTCAGTCGTAATGTCTGTCTTGTATCTTGTATGTCGTTTGGTTCCTATTTGTTGTAATCTATGTAGTTTGCAAATAAAAATTATTATTAAAAAAAAAAAAAAAAAAAAAAAAAAAAAAAAGAAAGTAAAGTTTATTGATCATTGAGAGGATGTATTTGCATTTTTATTCCATGGTCGTTATAAAAGTTGAAATTGGTCTCAAAATGTCAATATTATCGTTTATCGCAATAAATTCTTGGTCAATGAATCGTCCAGCAAAATCTGTTATTCTCACATTACTTGGAGACAGGAACATTATTTTACAACAACAAATAGTAAAAAAAAAAAAAAAAAAAACGGGTAATAAACTTCTAATTAAGTAGCAATAAAAAACAGCAGGAGATTGTGAGACTGTGTGATCCTGGTCTGGTCCTGGTCTGGTCCTGGTCTAGTCCTGGTCTAGTCCTGGTCTAGGATTGTGAGACATAAATTATATAAATGTATGTACAGTAAATAAAACACAAGTGACAGAGAGAAAAGCGAGTCCGAGCTGGTGGTGGTCAGCGCGGCACAGACCTCGGTGAGGAAGTGGTGGAGGATCTGGTCGTTGGACAGAACCGGATGTGACGCGACTCGGAGCAGGAAGTTCTCGAGTCCGACGCGGCGCCGCTCCACGAAGTCTGGGTCCATGTTATCGGCCGAGAGCTTATGCCACACGAACTCCGCCTGAAACACACACAAGGTTTAGTCCTGGTTTAATCCTGGTTTAGTACCTGGTTTAGTACCTGGTTTAGTCCTGGTTCAGTCATGGTTTAGACCTGGTTTAGTCCTGGTTCAGTCCTGGTTCAGTCCTGGTTTATTTCTGGTTTAGTCCTGGTTTAATCCTGGTTTAGTACCTGGTTCAGTCCTGGTTTAGTCCTGGTTCAGTCCTGGTTTAGTCCTGGTTTAGTCATGGTTTAGACCTGGTTTAGTCCTGGTTCAGTCCTGGTTTATTTCTGGTTTATTTCTGGTTTAGTCCTGGTTTAGTCCTGGTTCAGTCCTGGTTTAGTCCTGGTTCAGTCCTGGTTTAGTCCTGGTTTAGTCATGGTTTAGACCTGGTTTAGTCCTGGTTCAGTCCTGGTTTATTTCTGGTTTATTTCTGGTTTAGTCCTGGTTTAGTCCTGGTTCAGTCCTGGTTTAGTCCTGGTTTAGTCCTGGTTCAGTCCTGGTTCAGTCCTGGTCTAGTCCTAGTCTAGTCCCGGTTTAGTCCCAGTTTCATCCCGGTTCAGTCCTGGTTCAGTCCTGGTTTAGTCCTGGTTTAGTCTCGGTTTCGTCCTGGTTTAGTCCTGGTTTAGTCCTGTTGTAGTCCAGGTTTAGTCCTGCTTTAGTTCTGGTTCAGTCCTGGTTAAGTCTCTGGTTCAGTCCTAGTTCAGTCCTGGTTCAGTCCTGGTCTAGTCCTGGTTCAGTCCTGGTTTCATCCTGGTTTAGTCCTGTTGTAGTCCCGGTCTAGTCCCAGTTTAGTCCTGTTCTAGTCCTGATTTAGTTCTGGTTTAGTCCTGTTCTAGTCCCGGTTCAGTCCTGTTGTAGTCACGATTTAGTCCTGGTTTAGTCCTGTTGTAGTCCCAGTCCAGTCCTGTTCTAGTCCTGGTCCAGTCCCGGTCCGGTCCTGGTTCTGACCCTCTTCTCGGGCAGGGGGGGCACTATGACGTAGGGGTATGTGACGAGCAGATAGTTCCGGAGCAGTTCAAACTCGCTGTACCTCCTCCACAGAGAGTCCGGGGCCGGGTTCCTGCCCTCGTTCACCGCGTCCATGGGCCTGAAACACACACACACACACACTTTTACACACACACACTTTTACACACACACACACACACACACACACCTGCGGGGGGCCGCTCACCGAAAAAACACAAGGAAAGGAAACTGTGGATTTATTTATTTACAAACAGATGAAACTTGTGACTCGTGAGTTTAATCTGACTTTTTACAGAAACTCTCTCACTTCTTTCTGCTGTTGTCCCAGAGAAATCCTCATTATTCAAAAAAAAAATAATTTAATTCTGAATAAAAATGACTTCTGCTTGAAAAAGTCCATGGAAACACTTAATTACAAATGAAAATGATTATTTGGAATTCGACTTAATTCTGAAGGAAGTGGGTGATTTATTCTGATTTTAATGATGAAATAGGCTTAGTCCAGTCTGGTCCTGGTCTAGTTCTGTCAAGTCTTTGTCTAGTCCTGGTCTGGTCCTGGTCCAGTCCCGATCCAGTCCTGGTCTAGTCCTGGCCTAGTCCTGCTTTAGTCTTGGTCTGGTCCTGGTCTGGTCCTGGTCTGTCACCTGGTCTCTATGAGGTGCACGGTGTAGTCCTCGCCCCTGTCCTGATTTAGTCCTGGTCTAGTTCTGCTTTACTCCTGCTTTAGTCCTGTTCTAGTTCTGCTTTACTCTTTAGTTCTGCTTTACTCCTGCTTTAGTCCTGTTCTAGTCCTGGTCTGGTCTGGGTCTGGCCCTGGTTCAGTCCTGGTTTAGTCCTGATTCAGTCCTGGTTTAGTACTTGATCTAGTCCTGGTTTAGTCCTGGTCCAGTCCTGATCTAGTCCTGTTTTAGTCCTGATCCAGTCCTGGTCTCTCACCTGGTCTCTATGAGGTACACAGAGTAGTTCTGGTCTCTATGAGGTACACAGAGTAGTTCTCGTCGATGTGCAGGTTCAGTCCTGGTCTAGTCCTGGTCTGGTCCTGGTCCTGGTCTAGTCCTGGTCTGGTCCTGGTCCTGGTCTAGTCCTGGTCTGGTCCTGGTCTAGTCCTGGTCCTGGTCCTGGTCTGTCACCTGGTCTCGATGAGGTACACGGTGTAGTTCTCGCCCATGTTCACTGCGTTTTTGCCGGTTCTTTTCTCGGCTTCTGCGACACAGATCTCCATCCGTCTGATCAGAGTCGACCCGTCCTCCACCATCTGAAACCAGACGCCAGGAAACGACATGAAGCACGACACGAGTCACGACCTGAGCCACGACGTAAGCCATGACCTGAACCACGACGTTAGCCATGACACGAGCCACGACCTGAACCACAACCTGAACCACAACCTGAGCCACGACCCGAACCATGACCTGAACCACGACCTGAACTGCGACCCGAACCGCGACCCAAACCGCGACCTGCATTGATATGTAAATGAGCTGTGTATAAGGTGTGAATGATCGACATTTACACATAAAATGAATTACCGCGGTGCACAGCATTTACGACTAAAGGCTAATAACGGTAGTTTCTTTAGTAGCTTGTAGTGATGAGTCGGTTGCGAACGAAGTGGCTCTTAGAAGCGAACGACGGGAGCCTGCTCCTTATTGGGAGCCGTGTTTTCTCTTTCTCTCACTTTTTTTCTCTTCACACCGCGTGCAGACTCGTGGGAGTTTGACAGCAGCAGCGTCTCAAAATGAAACTTTCACAAATCTGCGTGTGCATAGGATAAAAAAACGTACATATTTGTCTGTAGTTCAGCATAAAATAAATAAACCAGGACTAATCTTGGGCTCGAGAGACGGAGAGAGACAGAGACCGAGTCCCGACACTCAGTCCTGGTTCAGTTCTGGTTTAGTCCTGCTTGCAACAAAACAACCTGAAGAGCCGCTTGGGAGCCGAAAGAGCCAGCTGCTTTTAGTGAACCGAGCCAAAAGAGCCGGTTCTGTAAAAAGAACTGGAATACCCATCACTAGTGTGTAGAATGTGATGCAAAAATGCCATTAGTCCGACCATACTGTGTGTAAATATGACGTAAAGAAGCAGAATAACAATAAATGTTTTCTAAATAAACCCAATTTAAAATCCACTAGAGCCAAACCTAAGTTTTTTAAACAATTCAACATTTACAGTGAATTTTTACATCACTAAATATATCGGTGATTATATCGGCAGCTCCAACTCCTGTTTTATCGATATCATATCGGCCACAAAAAAAATAAAATAAAATAAAAAAATCCATATCGGTCGGACTCTAATAATAATAATAATAATAATCATAATAATTTTAAAAAAAATCCATATCGGTCGGACTCTAATTAATAATAATAATAATAATAAGTAAAAAATAAATAAATAAAAATCCTGCCGCTGAACCACGACACTGGCTCCATCTACTGGACAGAAAGTGTAACTGCGACAACCGAACACGCAACTATTAACACTAAAACGAGTTAAACCTTCGTGACATTCATAATTATATAAAATAAACGTTTCGAGATTCAAGACATTTTATTTACTCCACAAAAATACATTTATTCTCGACGTCACTGGGCGTATTTTCATGCCATATGTCATTAATATCACGTAAAATTAATAGAATAAAATGTTTCCCTTTGCTTCTTTGTCATTTATTTCGGGTTAAATTATGATCTTGTAGTTTTTAAACGTTTAAAAAGTGAAGAAAATGAGCTGTTGTCGTCGTTAGCGGAGACAGTTGTGATGCTAGCTCCGGCTTCCGCACGCGCCTCCGTCATGTTTACGTCGTGTTTTTATCGTGTTTTTGTCGTGTTTTTGTTCGTAAAGAGCGGGGCCGTGCAGAGTTTTACCGCCGTGCTCAGGCTGCCCGCTCCCTCCTCGCAGCTCGGCTCTGAATCCTCCTCATCTGTGGCCAAAGACTCCAGGTCTCTCCCATCCTCCTCCTCCGCCATCCTGCAGGAGACAGAGCGCATGCGCACAACCACCGACCTGCACCCACCTGCACCGACCCGGAGCGGACCTGGAGTGGACCTGGTTTAGTCCTGGATTAGTCCTGGTTTAGTCCTGGGTTAGACCTGGTTTAGTCCTGGTTTATTCCTGGTTTAGTCCTGGTTTAGTCCTGGTTTAGACTTGGTTTAGTCCTGGGTTAGACCTGGTTTAGTCCTGGGTTAGACCTGGTTTAGTCCTGGTTTAGTCCTGGTTTAGTCCTGGTTTAGTCCTGGTTTAGACCTGGTTTAGTCCTGGGTTAGACCTGGTTTAGTCCTGGTTTAGACCTGGTTTAGTCCTGGGTTAGACCTGGTTTAGTCCTGGTTTAGACCTGGTTTAGTCCTGGGTTAGAACTCGTTTAGTCCTGGTTTAGACCTGGTTTAGTCCTGGTTTAGACTTGGTTTAGACTTGGTTTAGTCCTGGGTTAGAACTCGTTTAGTCCTGGTTTAGACCCGGTTTAGTACTGGTTTAGTCCTGGGTTAGACCTGGTTTAGTCCTTGTCTAGACCTGGTTTAGTCCTGGTTTAGACCTGGTTTAGTCCTGGGTTAGACCTGGTTTAGTCCTGGTTTAGATCCATTTTAGACCTAGTTTATTCCTGATTTAAAACAGGTTTATTCCTGGGTTAGACCTGGTTTAGTCCTAGTTTAGTCCTGGTTTATTCCTGGATTAGACCTGGTTTAGTACTGGTTTAGTCCTGGGTTAGACCTGGTTTAGTCCTGGTTTAGTCCTGATTTAGTCCTGGTTTAGACCTGGTTTAGTACTGGTTTAGTCCTGGGTTAGACCTGGTTTAGTCCTGGTTTAGTCCTGGTTTAATTCTGTTTTAGACTTGTCCTGGTTTATTTCTGTTTTCGAGCCTTAAACCTGGTTTTAACCTGATTTTAGTCCTGGTTTAGTAAAATTAGAGTTATGGATTATCTATATTCTATAATCTATAGTGAATTATTTAATATTAAAATAAAAATAAACATTTAGATTCTTCAGTCCTGTGAAAACAGTATGAAGAGAAAATTTACACCACAGGAAATAAAACATTCATCTAATAAAAGTCAAAATGATAAACATGGATTTGTTTTTAATTAAAACTCCCAAAATGTTTCAAATCTCACAGTAATTACAAATATTTACAAAAAGTTCACAACAACATTTTCAAAAATATTTCTCAAAAACATTTGTCCAGATTAAACAAATAAACATAAACATTTACCGTAAAGTCATGGCATTAGTTTTGAATAATAATGAATCACAGGAAAACAGTGAGAATTATAAAATATACTTAAATAAGGTTTAAAAGTGTTTAAATGTCGGGGTAAAACTCGTCTGTGGGGCATTAAAGACGGGGGATTTACGTCTGTGGGGTTTTAACTGTAACACATCACATATTCAGATCAGCAAGTTCATTTTATCGTTTCTGGAAGTGTTCTAATCACTCCCCCTTCAGAGCGCTATCACAACACATCAGGTCTGTCCAGTCTCTGTGTGCAGTTTTGTGTCATGTTTTTTTTTTGTGTGTGTGTATTTATGGAGAATTTTTGTGTGGGAGCCGGGGGGGGACGTAGGCTTGTGGGCGGAGCCTCGTACTGCTAACTAGGGATGTAACAGTAACCGAAATATGGTGATATCGTATCGTCAAAGTTCTCATAATCATATCGTGGAGCATCACAATATATCGAATTACAAGTCTCTTTGCTTAAATGAAGAGTTATGGTGCAACAAAAGCTAAAAAGAGACAGAGGGAACTACATAGACCATGATCCTTTGCTCCATTTCAGTGCAGACGACAAGAAGAAATAACAGTTCTAACACTTTTAACTCTTAATTCTTTGGATTAAGTCTTGTCAAGGCATTTTAAGAGGAAAAAGAAGAATATTAATGGTTTTTGCTCATCCACAAACTATCACAATAAATAATGTAAATAATAAATATCGTGAGATGTATATTGTGAAAATATCGTACAGAGAGTTTGGCATATTTGGATAGACTTTGGACTTGAATATTGTTACACCCCAACTGTTAACCGTAAGGAAGGTTTGAATAGAGCCTGACAGAGATCACTGGATGACTCAAACATGCATGGTGGAAAGGTTAAAAAAAAAAAGTACATTTTGCACAATACCCCATCTTTAAAATAACAGAAATGTGAAAATAACAGAGGACTTGGTTTAGTCCTGGGTTAGACCTGGGTTAGTTCTGGTGTAGTTTTGCTTTAGACCTGGTTTAGACCTGGTTTAGTTCTGATTTAGACCTGGTTTAGTTCTGATTTAGACCTGGTTTAGACCTGGGTTAGTCTAAAAAAAGTACATTTTGCACAATACCCCGTCTTTAAAATAACAGAAATGTGAAAATAACAGAAGACTTGCTTTAGACCTGGGTTAGTCCTGGGTTAGTCCTGGTTTAGACCTGGTTTAGTTCTGGGTTAGTCCTAAAAAAGTACATTTTGCACAATACCCCGTCTTTAAAATAACAGAAATGTGAAAACAACAGAGGACAGAGACACTTCTCGGCTCCAGGGTTTGTAAAAAAAAACAAACCAAACTGTGATATTAGTATTTTATAAATAAACCGTGTAAAGCAGGAGTCTCCAACCTGTACCTCAGGAGCTTCCAGCAGCTCTCCACCCTCTTCAAACAGCTCCACAAACAATTTCTGAATATATATTGTGCTTAATAACTAAAGTCTGATTAAATGTATAATTTTGATGCCGAACTTCACTAAAGAACAGATAACGGTTTATGTTTTATAAGCTTCTAAGACTCGCCGTGGCTCTTGTACTTTCTAATTTTCTTGTGACTCTTGCGAAAATAAGCAGCTCTCTGTTATTTTTGTTTTGTAAAGTTCGCTCAGCAGAGGAAAAAGGCTGGAGAGTCCTGGCGTAAAGGCACTTGTGAGAGACAAAAACAGCAGCGGGCGACGAAATATTTGATGGGAAGTGTTTTTCGTTTGGACAGTGACGGCGTTTTTGGGGCTTAAAAACAAAAATCTGAAACCACCTTCCAGAGTGGAAAAGTTGAGTACAACACTGTCTGCCCAAGACGCAAAACTCTGGTCAGATGTGCTCAGGTCGTGTTCGAGTTTACGTCACCATCTAGACCAGGCATGTCCAAACTGTGGCCCGTGGGTCAAATGTGGCCCTCAGACAAATTTTTCTTGGCCCTCAGGCTTCCAGGTGAATTGGCCCAAATGAACTTGCATCAATTAAAAATAAATTTTTTAATGCAAGTTTTTTGAAAATCTACCTTGACAAAGCAAATATTTATTGTGTGGTTTTAAGGATTTTAGTGTGAATAAAAACTGACGGTTCATTCTAACGTGTTAAACATTAAATATATTATAATTATTCACTGTATTGAGCACCAGTCTGCGGCCCTCGATCGGCCCTCGATCGGCCTCTGCTTCGTCTGTGTTTAGATGTGTGGCCCTTGATGAAAATAGTTTGGAAACCCCTGACCTCCAGTCACCACCGAGTCTTTTGCGTCACCGTCTGCAGCAGATTTCCTCCTGAAAACACTCGTCTAAACGCGGAATAAAAAGTGAAGATGAGACTGTTCAGACCCTCATCGTATAAACGTAGACTTAAAGTCTGTTCATAAAGTATTAGTTCATCAGGTCCACAGTGGTGCAGTGGCCCCCTGACTCACAGTCACAGGGTCCTCGGTTCTATTGCACGTTCTCCCTGTGTCAAAGGTCCAGAGTCACAAAACAGGCACAATAATCCTGCAGATACAGGGACTAGTTGTGGTTCAAATCCTGGTCTAGTCCTGGTCTAGTCCTGGTCTAGTCCTGGTCTAGTCCTGGTTAAGGATGCATCAATACAAATACTGGTGTTGGAAATTGGCACAGTTACTGAAAAGTTTGCTACATCTAAATATCGGTTTAGTCGATATCCTGGTTGGACTTTGGATTTAATCAGACGATTAAATTCTGGTTTAGTCCTGGTTAAGTCCTGGTTTAGTCCTGATTTAGTCCTGGTTTAGTCCTGGTTAAGTCCTGGTTTAGTCCTAGTTTAGTCCTGGTTTAGTCCTGGTTTAGTCCTTGTTAAGTCCTGGTTTAGCTCTGGTTTAGTCCTGGTTTAGTCCTGGTTCAGTCCTGGTTTAGACCTGTTTTAGACCTGGTTTAGTCCTGTTTTAGTCCTGGTTCAGTCCTGGTTCAGTCCCGGTTTAGTCCTGACCAGGATCCTGGCTCAGATCTGGTCCTCTGCTCCTGAACCAGTTTAACCCAGAGTCGCAGGTCAGAGGACGTTTTCCAACAGCCGTTTGTGAAAAATACAAATAACAAACTCTGAATATGAATAAATCCTAAAAATATTTTTGGCTTTTCATCAAAACATTTTAAATAAACATTTTTTTACACTTTTTTTCCCTGTCACATAATAAATCTTCTGCTGTCGGAGTGTTTCAGTCCAAAACGTTTAGAGACGATTTAGAGACGCAGAAAACAAACTCCTGGAGCTTTAAGTCGTCTTCTAATGTTCCCTCCTCAAAAACACAACTAGAGCTGGGTTTTGTTTCTCTTCATTCAGAGCTCTCGAAAACTCTGAGCTCTATAAAACTCTGAGCTCTTTAAAACTCAAAGCTCTCGAAAACTATGAGCTCTCAAAAACTCTAAGCTCTTCGAAAACTCTAAGTTCTTTAAAAATCTAAGCTCTCTAAGACTCCGAGCTCTCAAAAACTCCGAACTCTTTAAAACTCTGAAGCTCTTTAAAACTCTGAGCTCTGGAAAACTCTAAGCTCTTTAAAAATCTAAGCTCTCTAAAACTCTGAACTCTCAAAAACTCTGAGCTCTTTAAAACTCAGAGCTCTACACGTTTTAAAGAACTTTATGAACTCATTTTGGTGCTTTGTATATTTTTTATATCCAGTTTCTCTTTTAAACTACAGACCGAAGAACATTCGAGTCTGAAATAAAGATTAAAACCAAATAAATACGGAGTTTAAAAACACAGTGGAGCACTTCCTGAGCGTCCTGTCGCCGGGTTCGTGCGTTAAACGTGTGCGAACGAAACGAAACACAACTCCAGGTCTGTTTGAGCCGAGGAAACGAAGTCAGAACAGAGAAAAAGTCAGATTTAGTCTTTTTAAAAACACTTTCCTCCTTTTTCCTTTTTGGCTTTGAGTTTTTTTGCTTTGAGTTTTTTTGCTTTTTTGTTTTGTTCCGGTGCTTTTTGTCCGTCCCGTCAGTCCGTCGCGGAGCTGGGGGGCGCCGCGTCGTCCTCGGAGCCCACGAAGAAGCAGACCTGCTGGGGGGAGGAGAGCGGCGCCGACGACGGGGACGTGGGCGTCTGGGGGATCTCCCAGTAGTTTCCGTGGAGATCCAGAGACGAGAGCGCCGGCAAAATGTCCAGGTCCAGGGGGCGCTCTTTCTCCGACGACAGAGGAGGGACGCTCAGGCACTTCCTCAGACCGGAGTCACTGCGCGAACACAAACACACAAACAAACACACACAAACACACAAACACACAAACACAAACACACACAAACACATTTATTAAAGTTTGTACAGAGGATTTTCCAAAGAAAGAGAAACACGGCGACAGTTTGTTCTTTTTCAAATATCACCTCCTCCTCAGCTCCCTCAGTACAAACTCGCTGAATTTACTGCCGTTGATCCACAGTTGATGGATTTTCTTTTATTTTTTTCACATGTTTTGTAAGTTTCACATTTTCTCCCCTCCGCGCTAAGTCACTCCCCCTTCAGAGCATTATCACAACTAACTAACTAACTAACTAACTAACTAACTAACCACTGCATTTCTAAAGCGCCTTTCAAAACACCCAAAGTGCTTTAAAGTTCATTTTTCATTCACTCAACTCAGTGGTGTAAACTACTACTGTAGCCACATCTGCCCTGGGACAGACTGACTGAAGCGAGGCTGCCAATCTGCACCACCACCACCATCACACACACTCCACTTTCACACTAGACAGTGTGGGTGAAGTGTCTTGCCTAAGGACACAATAACAGTTTTTTGTCACTGGTGCCTCCTGTGGAAACCAAGTCCAGACCTGGACTCTGAGACTCTGACGGGATCAGACTTTGACGAGTCGTTATCACCACCACTAACACCACCGACAAACTCCTGCACGTCACATCAGTTTTGTCCAGTCGCTGTGTTCAGTTTTGTAAGGAGGATTGGAGAGATCACTAGATGAATCAAACATGCATGTATGAGTCTGAAACCTCTTCACACAGGTTTTTTGATGAGGGAACAATGTTAGAACATGAAAGAAAGACACAAAAAAGGACATTTTTAAGCTTCATGATGTAGAGTTTGGGAACACACACACACACACACACACACACACACACACACACAGGGGTACAGGGGGCACCTGACACACACACACACACACACACAGGGGTACAGGGGAGCACCTGACACACACACACACACACACACAGGGGTACAGGGGGGCACCTGACACACACACACACACACACACACACAGGGGTACAGGGGGCACCTGACACACACACACACACACACACAGGGGTACAGGGGAGCACCTGACACACACACACACACACACACACACACAGGGGTACAGGGGGCACCTGACACACACACACACACACACACACACACAGGGGTACAGGGGGCACCTGACACACACACACACACACACACACAGGGGTACAGGGGGCACCTGACACACACACACACACACACACACAGGGGTACAGGGGGGCACCTGACACACACACACACACAGGGGTACAGGGGAGCACCTGACACACCTGCTCTGGGCGGGGCCTCCTCGGGCTTGTCTGTAAACGTCTCCTGCCATTCCAAAAATCCAGCGCACGTCGGCGGGAACGTCCGGGATCCACTCCACAAACCTGCAGCACAAACAGGATTAAGTTTGTCTTGTGTCTGTACAAATACAACATTTTACTGAAATAATGAAAAAACTAAACTCTGAACAGACTTTAAAGAGTGTGTCAGGTGTGACACACTGTGTGTTTATCACAGCAGCGTCTCCAGCGTCTCTGTACGTGGCCCCTCCCACCAGAGCAGCACAAATGAAGACTTGTCTCTTTCCAAACGCTCTTAAAGGACGATCGTTTTGACTGTTGACCGTGACACCCTCATCAGAAAAATGTCCAACATGAGAAAAGTGGAGCCGAGTGCAGGATTTTACAACAAAAATGGACTTATTCCTATTTACATACAAGTTCATGTTAAAACATTGTGTTGAAATTGTATTTTTCTTAAAGTTGCAGGTTGTTCATAATATTATAATATTATAATAAGAAAGAGTTCATCAATTACAAAAGATTTCTGTAATAGATTTGTGTTTCTCTGCACAAATATTTGAACTTATTGTTATTTTTGGGGTTTATATGACATGAGTTTTCTGATCCAGACACTTTGGGATCAAAGTTGGTTGGAACAAAATGAGTTTGACTCCCCTGGTTTAGAGATTTAAAACAGAAATCATCCAATCAACAGTGAAAACATGAACTACGTGAAAAGTTTAAACGTGAGAATCGAGCGAGGCTGGAGTCAGAGGAGCAGATCTGTGTTTCTGCTGTAAAGTTTCTCGTGTGCAGCTCTGTCCTCGTGTCCCTGCTGCTCCGTGTGTGTGTGTGAGTGTGTGTGAGTGTGTGTGTGTGATGTGTGTGTGTGTGTGTGTGTGTGTGTGAGTGTGTGTGTGTGTGTGTGTGTGTGTGTGTGTGTGTGTGTGTGAGTGTGTGTGTGTGTGTGTGTGTGTGTGTGTGTGTGTGCGTGTGTGTGTGTGTGTGTGTGTGTGTGTGTGTGTGTGTGTGTGTGTGTGTGTGTGAGTGTGACGGGCTCGTACCTCTGGGCGGCGGAGTAGGCCGACTGCACCGGGAGCGTGTAGGGCAGCAGCATGTAGGACGCCACACGCATCGGTAACATGCCCGTTACCGTGGAGACGAGTCCGGTTCTGTCCTGACACGCCTCACAGAAAACTGGACACACAGAAAGAGACAAAAGACGAAAATGTCACAAACTTGACCAAACTATGTCCCCGTGTGTCAGATGCCCTCCCGTCCTCCTAATGTGTGTCAGATGCCCTCCCGTCCTCCGTGCCCTCCCGTCCTCCTATGTGTGTCAGATGCCCTCCCGTCCTCCTAATGTGTATCAGATGCCCTCCCATCCTCCCCGTGTGTGTCAGATGCCCTCCCGTGCGTCAGTGCGTCAGATGCCCTCCCGTCCTCCCCGTGTGCGTCAGATGCCCTCCCGTGTGTCAGATGCGTCGGATGCCCTCCCGTCCTCCCCGTGTGCGTCAGATGCCCTCCCGTCCTCCCCGTGTGCGTCAGATGCCCTCCCGTCCTCCCCGTGTGTATCAGATGCCCTCCCGTCCTCCTAGTGTGTGTCAGATGCCCTCCCGTCCTCCCCGTGTGTGTCAGATGCCCTCCCGTCCTCCTAATGTGTGTCAGATGCCCTCCCGTCCTCCCCGTGTGCGTCAGATGCCCCCCGTCCTCCCCGTGTGTCAGATGCCCTCCCGTCCTCCTAATGTGTGTCAGATGCCCTCCTCCCCTAATGTGTGTCAGATGCCCTCCCGTCCTCTGCCCCGTGTGCGTCAGATGCCCTCCCGTCCTCCTAGTGTGTGTCAGATGCCCCTCCCGTCCTCCCCGTGTGCGTCAGATGCCCTCCCGTCCCCCTCCTGTGTGTGTCAGATGCCCTCCCGTCCTCCCGTGTGCGTCAGATGCCCTCCCGTCCTCCCTGTGTGCGTCAGATGCCCTCCCGTCCTCCCGTGTGTGTCAGATGCCCTCCGTCTCCTAATGTGTGTCAGATGCCCTCCCGTCCTCCCCGTGTGCGTCAGATGCCCTCCCGTCCTCCTAATGTGTGTCAGATGCCCTCCCGTCCTCCCCGTGCGTGTCAGATGCCCTCCGTCCTCCCTGTGTGCGTCAGATGCCCCTCCCGTCCTCCCCGTGCGTGTCAGATGCCCTCCCGTCCCCCTGTGTGCGTCAGATGCCCTCCCGTCCTCCTAATGTGTGTCAGATGCCCTCCCGTCCTCCTAATGTGTGTCAGATGCCCTCCCGTCCTCCCGTGTGCGTCAATGCCCTCCCGTCCTCCTGTGTGTCAGATGCCCTCCCGTCCTCCCCGTGTGCGTCAGATGCCCTCCCGTCCTCCTAATGTGTGTCAGATGCCCTCCCGTCCTCCCCGTGTCATGTGCGTCAGATGCCCTCCCGTCCTCCCCGTGTGCGTCAGATGCCCTCCCATCCTCCGTGTGTGTCAGATGCCCTCCCGTCCTCCTAATGTGTGTCAGATGCCCTCCCGTCCTCCCCGTGTGCGTCAGATGCCCTCCCGTCCTCCCCGTGTGTGTCAGATGCCCTCCCGTCCTCCCCGTGTGTGTCAGATGCCCTCCCGTCCTCCTAATGTGTGTCAGATGCCCTCCCGTCCTCCCCGTGTGTGTCAGATGCCCTCCCGTCCTCCCCGTGTGCGTCAGATGCCCTCCCGTCCTCCTGTGCGTCAGATGCCCTCCCGTCCTCCCCGTGTGCGTCAGATGCCCTCCCGTCCTCCCCGTGTGTGTCAGATGCCCTCCCGTCCTCCCCGTGTGTGTCAGATGCGTCAGATGCCCTCCCGTGCTGTCAGTGCGTCAGATGCCCTCCCGTCCTCCTAATGTGTATCAGATGCCCTCCCGTCCTCCCCGTGTGCGTCAGATGCCCTCCCGTGTGTCAGATGCGTCGGATGCCCTCCCGTCCCTCCCCGTGTGTGTCAGATGCCCTCCCGTGTGTCAGAGCGTCGGATGCCCTCCGTCCTCCCCGTGTGTGCGTCAGATGCCCTCCCGTCCTCCCCGTGTGCGTCAGATGCCCTCCCGTCCTCCTAGTGTGCGTCAGATGCCCTCCCGTGTGTCAGATGCGTCGGATGCCCTCCCGTCGTCACCTTTCTTGATGTTGCTGGGCAGGTTGAGTTTCTCGTCGAGCCACCAGTGCTGCTTCCCGAGGAGCCGGAGCCGCCGCAGGACCCACTCCCGGGTGCTCTCCGTCTGCGCGCAGCAGCAGCCCGGAGGAACGTCCGCCGCCGCCGCCGAGGGACCAGAGGACGGAGCAGCGGTCGTCAACAAGTCTGAGGAAAAAACACACGAGAAAACTGTGAAGAGACGGAGGAGAGACGGAGGAGGAGAGACAGGAGAGGAAAGACAGGAGAGACAGAAGAGGAAAGACAGAAGAGAGAGAGAGAGAAGAGAGACAGAAGAGGAGGGAGAGAAGAGAGAGAAGAGAGACAGAAGAGACAGAAGAAGAGAGACAGAAGAGGAGAGACAGAAGAGAGACAGAAGAAGAGACAGAAGAGAGAGAGAGAGAGACAGAAGAGACAGAAGAGAGAGAGAGAGAGAAGAGACAGAAGAAGAGACAGAAGAGAGAGAAGAGAGAGAGACAGAAGAGACAGAAGAAGAGAGACAGAAGATAGAGACAGAAGAGACAGAAGAGGAAAGACAGAAGAGAGAGAGACAGAAGAAGAGAGACAGAAGAGAGAGACAGAAGAGAGAGAGACAGAAGAAGAGAGACAGAGAAGAGACAGAGAGAGACAGAAGAGAGAGAGAAGAGAGAGACAGAAGAGAGACAGAGAGAGAGAGAGAAGAGAGACAGAAGAGAGAGAGAAGAGAGACAGAAGAGAGAGAGAGAGAGAGAGACAGAGAGGAGAGACAGAGAGACAGAAAGAGAGACAGAGAGAGAGAGAGAGAGAGAGAGAGAGACAGAAGAGAGAGACAGAAGAGAGACAGAGAGAGAGAGAGACAGAAGAGAGAGAGACAGAAGAGAGAGACAGAGAAGAGAGACAGAAGAGAGAGAGACAGAAGAGAGAGAGACAGAAGAGAGAGACAGAAGAGAGAGACAGAAGAGAGAGAGACAGAAGAGAGAGAAGAGAGAGAGAGACAGAAGAGGAGGGAGAGACAGAAGAAGAGAGACAGAAGAGAGACAGAAGAAGAGAGACAGAAGAGAGAGAGAGAGACAGAGAGAGACAGACAGAAGAAGAGAGACAGAAGAGAGAGAGAAGAGAGAGAGAGAGAGAAGAGAGAGAGACAGAAGAAGAGACAGAAGAGAGAGAGACAGACAGAAGAAGAGAGACAGAAGAGAGAGAGAGATGGAGAAGAAGAGAGAGAGGAAAGACAGAAAAGAGACAAAAGAAGAGAGACAGAAGAGAGATGGAGGAGGAGATAGAGAAGAAGAGAGACGGAGGAAGAGAGAGAGCGGAACAGACAGAGAAAGAGACGCAGAGGAGGAGAGAAAGAGGAAAGACAGAAAAGAGACAGAGGAGCAAAGGAGGGAAACAGAAGAACAGAGGAGGAGAGATAGAAGAGAAGAAACAGAAGAAAAGAGAGAAGAAGACAGGAGAAGACAGAGACAGAGACAGGGCAGACAGTGCAGCAGAGCAGACAGGTGCAGACAGGCAGCAGACAGCAGACAGCAGACAGGAGCAGACAGGAGCAGACAGGAGCAGACAGGAGCAGACAGGTGCAGACAGGAGCAGACAGGAGCAGACAGGAGCAGACAGGTGAGCAGACAGGAGCAGAGCAGACAGAGCAGGCAGCAGACAGGAGCAGACAGGAGCAGACAGGAGCAGGAGCAGTACAGGAGCAGACAGGTGCAGACAGGAGCAGACAGGAGCAGACAGGGAGCAGACAGGTGCAGACAGCAGGAGCAGACAGGAGCAGACAGGAGCAGACAGGAGCAGACAGGTGCAGACAGGAGCAGACAGGAGCAGACAGGAGCAGCAGACAGGTGCAGACAGGTGCAGACAGGAGCAGACAGGAGCAGACAGGAGCAGAAGAGGGACTCACTGTTCTCCTGGAGGAAGCGCAGAGCGTCTTTATATCCACTCTGACACATCTCAGCCATGATCTGGAACAGCAAGAAAAATACAAACTTTTACTTAAATAAACATCAAAATTTAAATTCTCAAAAACCCTGAAAACGGTCCGACTCTGACACCGACCCAGACCCGAGCCAAGACTTACACAAAACATGTCCCAGGAATCTCTAAACCAGGACTAAACTGAGACTAAACCAGGACTAAACTGAGACTAAACCAGGACTAAACTGAGACTAAACCAGGACTAAACTGAGACTAAACCAGGACTAAACCAGGACTAAACTGAGACTAAACCAGGACTAAACTGAGACTAAACCAGGACTAAACTGACTAAACCAGATACTAAACCAGGACTAAACTGAGACTAAACCAAGACTAAACTGACACTAAACCAGGACTAAACTGAGACTAAACCAGGACTAAACTGAGACTAAACCAAGACTAAACTGACACTAAACCAGGACTAAACTGAGACTAAACCAGGACTAAACTGAGACTAAACCAGGACTAAGCCAGGATTAAACCGGTCTCAGTCCCGGTCTCAGTCCCGGTCTCAGTCCCGGTCTCAGTCCCGGTCTCAGTCCCGGTCTCAGTCCCGGTCTCAGTCCCGGTCTCAGTCCCGGTCTCAGTCCTGATCACCCAACAGCCTGTCCCGACACTCCTGATTCATTTTTGGTTCAATCCCGGTCCAGTCCTGGTTCAGTCCTGGTTTAGTCCTGATTCAGTCCTGGTCCAGTCCTGGTTTAGTCGTGGTCTAGTCCTGGTTCAGTCCCGGTTCAGTCCCGGTTTAGTCCCGGTCCAGTCCTGGTCCAGTCCTGGTCCAGTCCTGGTCCAGTCCTGGTCCAGTCCCGGTTTAGTCCTGGTTCAGTCCCGGTCCAGTCCTGGTTTAGTCCTGGTTCAGTCCTGGTCTAGTCCTGGTCCAGTCCTGGTTTAGTCCGGTATCCGTTTTTTCCATTTTTCATTTAAACACAAAATCAAAAACTGAAAAAAACAAATCATTATCTGTTCTTTTCATTTTGGTTTTGGAGACAAATAATAAAGAAAATATTAGTTTTATCGTTTTCTTATTTTTGGTTTTATTTTGAAAAACAAATGAACGAACGACACACGGTTTGTCTCAGTTCAGAGTTTAAAAGTCTGGTCACTCTGCTCTCTCTCTCTCGCCGTTTAAATACTGATTTCACTCGGTTCTGGTCGTAGCAGCGTGTGTCCAGCAGGTGGCGTCGTCCTGTGGGAACGTCTCTGACTCACACTTACGTCACGGTCGGTTCCTTGAAAACACACGTGCGGTGAACGCGGGAGGGTAAAGTCCACCGTAACAACAACACGAGCCAGAGGTCAAAGTGCAACGACAGAGAACAGGAAACAACAACCAGAACTAAGAGTCGCACGAGTCCACGTTTAGAGTCTGTGAAGTCCGAGTTTAGACCACACAGAGTCCTGGTTTAGTTCCAGTTTGGACCTTGGCCTTGGACTGGGCCACGCAGAAACTGTTCTCAGGTCAGAACGGTGCCGGTTCCTGCACAAGCTCCACAAGGAACCAAAGATCTAATGGTGAACGAGAATCAGTGTGTCTGAAAAAACAACAGTTTTCTTCATTATTTGTCTCCAAAACCAAAATGAAAAAACAGATAAAGATTCATTTTTTCAGTTTTCGATTTTGTGTTTAAATGAAAAATGTCACGCCCCTGCCTGTGACCTGAGTCTTCCTTGTGTGGACGTGGGCGGAGTCTGCTGGGAGCACCTGCTTTCCATCTCCAATCAAGCCTGCAACAAAGGCCCAGCTCTCCTGCCAGACTCTGCCAGACTGTTTCGTCTACCTGATGGTGATTCTCCTATCGGCTCAGCTTTTGATTTTTCCTCGCTGGCTTTATGCTAACCTGCATTTTTTGTACTCCTAGTTCCCGCCTTTCAAGACTCCTGCATCCCGGCATCTGGCTCCACATCTCTCCACCACCTGACCTCCCTGGTTAATAAACCTTGTTACTTTTGCATTTTTGTTGTAGTTTTGAGTCCTTTTTGGGTCCACTCCAGTGTTACCTAACAAAAAATGGAAAAAACGGATAACGACCGTTAACTGTTTACGTGACTCTTGTGACTGCGATGTCAGACTTTTGCACCGCATACGGACTGAACCAGGACTGATCCAGGTCCGGGACCAGACCGGGACCAGACCGGGACCAGACCGGGACCAGACCGGGACCAGACCAGATCGGGACCAGATCTGGACCAAACTGGACTCAGGCTTCTGTCCGGACGCTGCACCACCTCAGAACCAGCCGTGGTTCTTGAGCGCGGAGGAACCGGATCAGCCCGTCCGGACCTGTAGTCCACAGAACATTCTCACTTTCACCAGCGCACAGACGATGACACGGAACCGCTCGGACCTCTGGTGTCGGTCTCAGTCCCGCTCTGGTCCCGGTCTGGTCCCGGACCTGGATCAGTCCTGGTTCAGTCCGTATGCGGTGTAAAAGTCCAACATCACAGTCACAGAAGTCACGTAAACGGTCGTTATCCGTTTTTTCTATTCTTCATTTAAACACAAAATCGAAAACTGAAAAAACGAATCTTTATCCATTTTTTTCATTTTGGTTTTGGAGACAAATAATGGAGAAAACTGTTGGTTTTTCGTTTTCATATTTTTGGTTTTATATTGAAAAACGAATGAACGGAAGACACACAGATTGACGAGCCTGAGTTCAACTGTTTAAGTGAAACCATCATGATCACACATGAAGCACAGAGACAGAAGAATTAACACTAAATAAAAACAAGGCCAAACAAAAACCATCGACACCAGCGAGTGTTTGGGCTCATACTGATCATTATTTATCTAAACTAGGGACGGGCATTGGATAAAATTTTCTTAATCGATCGTCGGAAGAATTAACGATCGATTATCGATTAATCATTAACGTTTTTATATTAAAATGATCATCATTATTATTACTATCTGCACTAATCTGCATAAATAAATTCAACTTTACGACATATAAACATAACGACTCTAGATCCACATCAGCTGTTTGACATTATAATGTGTTTAATTCAGTTTTGTTCAAATCTCACAGAAACAAAACTTAAAACCACATCACTAATTTACATAAACTAAGTGAAGATAAAACTCCAGCTCTTGTGTCGCTGATGTGGTTCAACTTGTGTTGGATTAAAAGACATGACTCAGGTGAATACAGGTCAGTGTGACCAGATTTGTGTTTGTCAAAACCAGGACAGCGTACGGGGGGAGGGGGGCGGGGCCTCGTCATCCACATTGAGCGACTCTCACCTGGAAAAACTTTTTCCCACTGGACACAGAAACATATGTGCTGCTTTATCCACTGTGCACATGGACTCACACTTGTCCCAACGCAACGGAAAGTGTGGAATTTCTTCTACAAATCCTGGTTAAATCCACATTTGTGCTTCGGTTCGTTACAGACTGACCCACTGTTTGTGTCTCGCTCCTTCTGATGCAGAGACACATGTACACACCTGTTTGGTCACGACACACACACATACATTCAGTTTGTCCATTAAAATGAATGTAATCGATGAAATTCTTAATGATCAATTATCGATTAATCGACTAATCATGCCCATCCCTAATCTAAACCAAACTCTGCTACAACATCTGAAACAGAAGGCAGCAGCGACGTCCAATCCAGAGCTGGAACTTCACCGGTCGAACATTTATTCAGTAAATATTTGTTCTCTTCCTCTGACACGACTCAATCTTCTGTCTCCTGATTCTCCTCCATGTTCCACACACACGTTTCTTTCTCTTTGTTTATTTTCCCGCGTGTGACCCTGGACCTGCTCACCTCCACCGCGTCGTCACGGGCTTCAGAGAAAACACACGTTTTACTTGGTTCTCGTTGGGAACTAACTTTTCGGTTCCTGAAAGCTCAGATTTTCAGTCAGTTTGAAATCAGGTACAGAACCAGAACCAGAACCAGAACCAGAACCAGCACGATTCTGTCGACCTGAAAACACTCTCAGTTTAAGGATTTGTTCCGATTCAGTCCTGGTTTAGTCCTGGTTTAGTCCTGGTTTAGACCTGGTTTAGTTCTGGTTTAGTCCTGGTTTAGTCCTGGTTTAGTTCTGGTTTAGTTCTGGTTTAGTCCTGGTTTAGTTCTGGTTTAGTCCTGGTTTAGTCCTGGTTTAGACCTGGTTTAGACCTGGTTTAGTTCTGGTTTAGACCTGGTTTAGTCCTGGTTTAGACCTGGTTTAGTCCTGGTTTAGACCTGGTTTAGTTCTGGTTTAGACCTGGTTTAGACCTGGTTTAGTCCTGGTTTAGACCTGGTTTAGTCCTGGTTTAGACCTGGTTTAGTTCTGGTTTAGACCTGGTTTAGTCCTGGTTTAGTTCTGGTTAGTCCTGGTTTAGTCCTGGTTTAGTCCTGGTTTAGACCTGGTTTAGACCTGGTTTAGTCCTGGTTTAGTCCTGTTTAGTCCTGGTTTAGACCTGGTTTCTGGTTTAGACCTGGTTTAGTCCTGGTTTAGACCTGGTTTAGTTTCTGGTTTAGACCTGGTTTAGTCCTGGTTTAGTTCTGGTTTAGACCTGGTTTAGTTTAGACCTGGTTTAGTTCTGGTTTAGTCCTGGTTTTAGTCCTGGTTTAGCCTGGTTTAGTTCTGGTTTAGACCTGGTTTAGTCCTGGTTTAGTCCTGTTTAGTCTGGTTTAGACCTGGTTTAGACCTGGTTTAGTCCTGGTTTAGTCCTGGTTTAGACCTGGTTTAGTCCTGGTTTAGTCTGGTTTAGTTCTGGTTTAGTCCTTTTAGTCCTGGTTTAGTCCTGGTTTAGTCTTGGTTTAGACCTGGTTTAGTCCTGGTTTAGTCCTGGTTTAGTCCTGGTTTAGACCTGGTTTAGTCCTGGTTTAGTCCTGGTTTAGTCCTGGTTTAGACCTGGTTTAGTCCTGGTTTAGTCTGGTTTAGTCCTGGTTTAGTCCTGGTTTAGTCCTGGTTTAGTCCTGGTTTAGACCTGGTTTAGTCCTGGTTTAGTTCCTGGTTTAGACCTGGTTTAGTCCTGGTTTAGTCCTGGTTTAGACCTGGTTTAGTCCTGGTTTAGTTCTGGTTTAGTCCTGGTTTAGTCCTGGTTTAGTTCCTGGTTTAGACCTGGTTTAGTCCTGGTTTAGTCCTGGTTTAGTCCTGGTTTAGTCCTGGTTTAGACCTGGTTTAGTCCTGGTTTAGTCCTGGTTTAGTCCTGGTTAGTCCTGGTTTAGTCCTGGTTTAGTCCTGGTTTAGTTCTGGTTTAGACCTGGTTTAGTCCTGGTTTAGACCTGGTTTAGTCCTGGTTTAGTTCCTGGTTTAGACCTGGTTTAGTCCTGGTTTAGTTCTGGTTTAGTCCTGGTTTCAGTCCTGGTTTAGACCTGGTTTAGTTCTGTGTATTTCAAATGTGAACTTCCCTGAAGTATTTTTACAGCGTGACCTTTGCCCTTTGACCTCTGCGTGTGGGGCGACCCCTGTGGAACGCCGTCGTCTGATTGGCCGCAGAGTTAAGCCGCGTCCGCGTGTTTTCTAACGTAAACAGATTAGAACGACACTGTGCCGTTGGGCAAGACACTTGAGCAACTACGTCTTGAGTCCATGAACCACACACAAGTACATACAAGTACACACAAGTACATACAAGTACACACAAGTACACACAAGTACAAGTACACAAGTACAAGTACACAAGTACAAGTACAAGTACAAGTACACAAGTACACACAAGTACACACAAGTACATACAAGTACACACAAGTACACACAAGTACATACAAGTACACAAGTACAAGTACAAGTACACAAGTACACACACAAGTACACACAAGTACATACAAGTACAAGTACAGTACAAGTACACACAAGTACAAGTACACAAGTACATACAAGTACACACAAGTACACACAAGTACACACACAAGTACACACAAGTACACACACAAGTACACACAAGTACATACAAGTACACACACAAGTACACATACAAGTACACACAAGTACACACAAGTACACACAAGTACATACAAGTACACACAAGTACATACAAGTACACACAAGTACACACAAGTACACACAAGTACACACACAAGTACAAGTACATACAAGTACACACAAGTACACACACAAGTACACACACAAGTACACACACAAGTACACACACAAGTACACACAAGTACACACAAGTACACACACACAAGTACACACACACAAGTACACACACAAGTACACACACAAGTACACACACAAGTACACACACAAGTACACACACAAGTACACACACAAGTACACACACAAGTACACACACAAGTACACACAAGTACACACACAAGTACACACAAGTACACACACACACAAGTACACACACAAGTACACACACACACAAGTACACACACAAGTACACACAAGTACACACACAAGTACACACAAGTACACACACAAGTACACACAAGTACATACAAGTACACACAAGTACACACACAAGTACACACAAGTACACACACACACACAAGTACACACACAAGTACACATACAAGTACACACACAAGTACACACACAAGTACACACAAGTACACACACAAGTACACACAAGTACACACACAAGTACAAGTACACACAAGTACACACAAGTACACACAAGTACACACACAAGTACACACAAGTACACACAAGTACACACAAGTACACACACAAGTACACACAAGTACACACACACACACAAGTACACACACAAGTACACACAAGTACAAGTACACACAAGTACACACAAGTACACACACAAGTACACACAAGTACACACAAGTACACACACAAGTACACACAAGTACACACACAAGTACACACACAAGTACACACAAGTACACACAAGTACACACACAAGTACACACAAGTACACACACAAGTACACACAAGTACACACACAAGTACACACAAGTACACACAAGTACACACACAAGTACACACAAGTACACACACAAGTACACACACAAGTGCACACAAGTACACACACAAGTACACACACAAGTACACACAAGTACACATACAAGTACACACACAAGTACACACACAAGTACACACCAGTACACACAAGTACATACAAGTACACACAAGTACATACAAGTACACACAAGTACACACATGGAGGAGGAGGAGGAGTAGTAGTGGTGTCTGTAGTAGTAGTAGTAGTACTTGTAATGGTATCTGTTGTAGTAGTAGCAGTAGTAGTGGAAGCAGAAATAGTATCTGTAGTAGTAGTAGTACTAGTAGTAGTATTTGCAGTAGTAGTAGTAGTAGTAGTATTTGTAGTAGTATTTGCAGTAGTAGTAGTAGTAGTATTTGCAGTAGTAGTTGTATTTGTTGTTGTTGTTGTAGTGGTAGTAGTAGTATTTGCAGTAGTAGTAGTAGTAGTAGTAGTAGTAGTAGTAGTAGTAGTAGTATTTGCAGTAGTAGTAGTAGTAGTATTTGTAGTAGTATTTGTAGTACCTTTGGCTCTGGGGGGAACAGAGCTTTGCTGAGTCTGTACATGTTCCCCAGGTTCATCTGGATGCTGGTGTTGTAGTAGTTGTATTTGTTGTTGTTGTTGTAGTGGTAGTAGTAGTATTTGCAGTAGTAGTAGTAGTAGTATTTGTAGTAGTATTTGTAGTACCTTAGGCTCTGGGGGGAACAGAGCTTTGCTGAGTCTGTACATGTTCCCCAGGTTCATCTGGATGCTGGTGTTGTAGTAGTTGTATTTGTTGTTGTTGTTGTAGTGGTAGTAGTAGTATTTGCAGTAGTAGTAGTAGTAGTATTTGTAGTAGTATTTGTAGTACCTTTGGCTCTGGGGGGAACAGAGCTTTGCTGAGTCTGTACATGTTCCCCAGGTTCATCTGGATGCTGGTGTTGTAGTAGTTGTATTTGTTGTTGTTGTTGTAGTGGTAGTAGTAGTATTTGCAGTAGTAGTAGTAGTAGTATTTGTAGTAGTATTTGTAGTACCTTTGGCTCTGGGGGAAACAGAGCTTTGCTGAGTCTGTACATGTTCCCCAGGTTCATCTGGATGCTGGTGTTGGTGAAGCGGAGTTCGTGGAAGCTGGAGGACCCGTCTCGGGGGCAGATGTCGCTCTCTCCAGAGAACGGGGAGATGGTGATGGTGTTCTTCAACTCAGACTGCGGCAGGTTATCACTGATGCCCCCGTCCACGTACCTCTGCAGGGACCGACAGGGACCGACAGGGACCGACAGGTGAGGGAGAGACACAAGGCACAAAATATTAGGTCTGTATTTCATTAAATAAACCAAAGATCAAAGCTCCAAACTCTCTCTAGATGTTTTCAGGTCTGAACGGTGTCGGTTCCTGCACCAGTTCCTCTGGAACCAAAGTTCTCACTGGTGAACGACTCGTATACAAACCATTTACATGAACCCATGACACGTCATCGACAGAGGGAGTGGATTTACCACCAAATAAAAACAAGGCCACATGAAAACAGACGTCACAGGAGGAAAACAACAATCATGGATCAAATGATCAACACCAGTGAGAGTTTGTATTTATACAAGTCATTATTATTTATGTACCAAACTCTGACACAACATGGATCTGCTGTGGAGACGACGACAGCGACGCACAATACAAAAACTCGACTTGAAACTTTTCATTTCATACGTGATAGTTTCATTTGTTCTTTGTTTATTTTCTCGTGTGTGACCTGGATGAACCTGCTGACGTCTCTGTGTCGTCACAGTTCACTTAGAAAAAACAAGTTTTACTCGGTTCCTGTTGGGAACCAACTTTTCAGTTCCCAAACGCTCTGATTTCCAGCGTGAACATGAGTCGGTTCAAGATTAGGTGAGGGAACCTGCACTGGCACGATTCTCTGTCGGCCTGAAAACGTCTTCTGTGTATCAGACCCTAAACTGCACTCACAGACTCCACCTGCAGGGGGCGCTCAAAAAGTCCCTGGAAACAGTGTATTTATATAAAGAGTTTAATCTTAATCTGACTTTTTATCAGGAGATACCAAAAAATCTCAAATCTTCAGATCACTCTCTTCTTTCTGCTGTTGTCTCATTCAAACTCTGATCGTCTAAAGAACAGGATTAGTCTGGAGTGACCAGAATTTAAAAATAAAAAACTGTGAAATCCCTGGTTCATGGTGGTTGGTAATAATAAAACTGGTAAACAAGTGCGTAATTCAAGAAAACTGCTCTGCACTTAACGTGAGTCAGTTTAGTCACATTTTCTTTGAGTTATAGTTGTTTTTAAGCAGATTTTCTGTATTTTACCAAAACAAATGGGACAAAAAAATAAAAAATAGGGACATTTCTTTTATAAAACTGAGACAAATCAGTGGTTTTGTATAAAAAACTGGGACTGTTCCGGGGAAATATGGACGTCTTTTCACACTAGATTAGTCAGTCTGAAACACATTTTGGTCGAGCTGAATCATTTTAAAGTCTGAATATTTCCCATGTGTTTTTTTCCTGTACAGAGAGATTTTTTGAGCAGCTTTTTATGTCAAAATGAAGTATAAAAGTGTGACTCTTCTGTGTAAAAACTGAATCGTTAAACTTAATCTGTAAATGAACTTTGTCCTTCCTCTGATGAAGTCCACAGGAAAAAAGTATCGATCCTCCAAACTCAAACTCAACCGATAATCCATACAGGAAAAACAACATCGCAACACGGAGGTTTAGACCTGGGTCAGTCCTGGTTTAGTCCTGGTTCAGTCCTGGTTTAGACCTGGTTCAGTCCTGGTTCAGTCCTGGTTTAGTCCTGGTTTAGTCCTGGTTCAGTCCTGGTTTAGTCCTGGTTTAGTCCTGGTTTAGTCCTGGTTTAGTTCTTATTTAACAAAACCGTCTATTTTCAAACTGACCTAAATCGTGTGACCCAGTTGTTTTCAGATCCAGGATTAATCCAGATTATTTATTCAGTCTCATCAAACCAAATTCAAAGCAGCAGCAGCAGTAGTAGCAGTAGTAGTAGTAGTAGTAGTAGTAGTAGTAGTAGTAGTAGTAGTAGTAGTAGTAGTAGTAGTAGACTATATCAGGTCTATTCTTGGACTTGAGAGAGGGAAACCCTGAAACACGTGTGTCCACAAAGTTCGATTGAGCCACAGCTGCACTGAGCCTCGTGTGTGAACCTCCAGCTGCGGTCACCCCACAGTCTACAGGGGCGCAGCTTCAGACCCGTCCCCACAAACAGTCCTGGTTTAGTCCTGGTTTAGTCCTGGTTTAGTCCTGGTTTAGTCCTGGTTTAGTCCTGGTTTAGTCCTGGTTTAGACCTGGTTTAGTCCTGGTTGTGCAGGTCCAGAGTCCAGAGCGTCACATGTGCTCAGATAAAACCTGATCCTGACCACACAGAAAAATAAAACACGATAAAACCAACGACGTCTCCACGGAAACAATCAGGAACATCAGTCAGGAGCATCACTTTATCATTTTACACCACCATAATAAAAACCATCAGAATAATAAAAATAAAAATAACTGTGTCATTTGGTTTTCAAAATAAAACCAAAAATAAGAAAAAAAAAAAATATAAATAATATATATATATATATATATATATATATATATATATATATATATATTTTTTTTTTTTTTTTTTTTTTTTTTTTTTTCATTATTTGTCTCCAACACCAAAATGAAAAAAAATAAAAAAAATAAAAGATAATGATTTTTTTTTTATTTATTTATTTTTTTCAGTTTTTAATTTTGTGTTTACATGAAAAATTTAAAAAACAGATAATGGACTGAACTAGGACTAAACCAGGTCTAAACCAGGACTAAACCAGGTCTAAACCAGGACTAAACCAGGACTAAACCAGGTCTAAACCAGGACTAAACCAGGACTAAACCAGGACTAAACCAGGACTAAACCAGGTCTAAACCAGGACTAAACCAGGACTAAACCAGGTCTAAACCAGGACTAAACCAGGACTAAACCAGAACTAAACCAGAACTAAACCAGGACTAAACCAGGTCTAAACCAGGATTAAACCAGGTCAAAACCAGAACTAAACCAGGTCTAAAACAGGACTAAACCAGGTCTAAACTAGGTCTAAACCAGGTCTAAACCAGGTCTAAACCAGGACTAAATTAGAACTGAACCAGGTCTGAACCAGGACTAAATCAGAACTGAACCAGATCTAAACCAGGAGAAAATGGGACTTTTTATTTGAAAATGAAAACCTGTGTAAAAACGACTTTCTCGTTCCGATCCTGGTTTTCGTTTGGTTTTCGTTTGGATTTTCGTTTGGATTTCGTTTGGATTTCATTTGGATTTTGTTTGGTTTTCGTTTGGTTTTCCTTTGGTTTTTGTTTGGATTTCGTTTGGTTTCGTTTGGTTTTCGTTTGGTTTTCGTTTGGATTTCGTTTGGTTTTCGTTTGGTTTTCGTTTGGTTTTCGTTTGTTTTTTCATTTGGATTTCGTTTGAATTTCGTTTGGATTTCGTTTGGTTTTGGTTTGGTTTTCGTTTGGATTGTTTTTCGTTTGGTTTTTCGTTTGGTTTTTTCGTTTGGTTTTCGTTTGGATTTCGTTTGGTTTTTGTTTGTTTTTCGTTTGGATTTCGTTTGGTTTTCGTTTGGTTTTCGTGTCAGGTTTTGGATTCGGCCCTGGCCCCTGCTCTCCCTTTTATCGCGTGGGACTTTCACATTTGTTTTGCGGAGCCTCGTGAGACCGAGCTCAGAGTCCACGGAGCTGATATCTTCTGTTTATTTCAGACTAAAGGGACACACAGATAACACCAGGACCACGGCTAAAGATCCACTCTGTCACTTTTCCACAGGAGGGGCCTACTCGTCTCCATGGAGATGTTACTGCTTTTGCTTCGCCCAAAATCCAAATCTTCTTTAACCGCCAAAATCTGATCTTACAAGACCTAAAACCAACAAAAAAGCAGCAACTAATAAGTAAAAAATGTTAAAATAAATAGAAGAATGTTCCACAGTTTTCCACAGTTTTTGTGACACTTGTTTTGCTTCCACACATGGATTTATATTAAAGTATTTGACCAATCACGTTTCAGCATCATCTGTTGCCGGGCAGAGTCAAAGTCACAGAAGTCTAAATGTTGCTTCAACCAATCAGATTTTGAGTTGGTGTCGCCGGATTCAGAGCCGTGATTGGACAGAAAGAACCAGGACTAAACCAGGACTAAACCAGGACTAAACCAGGACTAAACCAGGTCTAAACCAGAACTAAAACGAGGATTAAACCAGGATTAAACCAGTACTAAACCAGGATTAAACCAGGTCTAAACCAGGACTAAACCAGGACTATACCAGGACTAAACCAGGACTAAACCAGAACTAAACCAGGACTAAACCAGGTCTAAATCAGGACTAAACCAGGACTAAATCTGGACTAAACCAGAATTAAACCAGGACTACACCAGGACTAAACCAGGTCTAAACCAGGTCTAAACCAGGTCTAAACCAGAACTAAACCACATCTAAACCAGGACTAAACCAGGACTAAACCAGGACTAAACCAGGTCTAAACCAGGACTTTTCTTGGACTTTAGAGACAGAACCCCAAGCCCGTGGAGCAGGGTGTCCGCAAAGTTTGGTCGAGCGTTTGCCCCTCGAGGTGGAGCTCTGTGCTGTTCTTTTTGCCCAAGGTCACCCGACGGTCTATACGGGCACACCTCCGGACCCGGGCTCACACTCAGTCCTGATGTAGTTCTGGTCTAGTCCTGGTTTAGATCTGTTTTAGTCCTGGTCCGTCATGTCGCAGGTCACTATAGGATGATTCCTGTTGTTCAACGGATTTTTGGAGTAATCAAAAAACATGATGTAGGATGTATGTTTAATGCCGTACTGTGGAACATTTCAGCCAAAGCAGCGGTTTTAGATCTTAGATGTTTAGATGTTTAGATCACCGTGTTCCTTTTACTGTTTTATACGTGTGAGTCTTTGCTCTCGGTGCTAAGTCGCTCCCCCTTCAGAGCACTACCACGACACACTCGGCTAATGAAACTCCCGCACGTCGCGTCAGGTTTGTCCAGTCGCTGTGTGCAGTTTTGTCTCATGTTTTTGTTTTAACAGAGAATTGTGGAGCGGGAGCCTGGGTGACAGGTTTGTGCAGTAACACAGTATTACAGTATCCCACGATATCAAAAAGTATCACTGGTATCAGTTTCATTACCGTCATAAAAAAAAAAAATCAGCAGCACAGGACCTAATATAATATTATCATTTATTGATACCTTAATTAGTTTGCTCAGCACAAATAAATGTGGTTGTATTTTCAATTTAATTCTATCATGATTTAAAACTAACAGTGTTTAAAATGTTTCTTTTAACTGTGCGGGGAGACGACGTTCGATTAGTTTCCGTTTTCACGTGACGCTCATAAGAGACCGAAATAAGACGACAAGTCCGACCACAAGAGAGTTGGTCCCAAAAAAAAATAAAAATACTAGTACTTCTACAATTTGGCATTCATGCATATTTTTGAAGAGAGAAAATAAAATACAGTGTTTTACAATTTACAGTAACAGTGTAACCAAACAAAAATACACTACCTACTGTGAGTAGTACAGTAGTTTTACAGTAGTAGTTTTACAGTTACAGTAGTTTTACAGTAGTTACAGTAGTTTTACAGTAGTTTTTGTGTAGTTACAGTAGTTACAGTTTTACAGTAGTTTTTGTGTAGTTACAGTAGTTTTACAGTAGTCTTTGTGTAGTTACAGTAGTTTTACAGTAGTGAGAGTGTAGTTACAGTAGTCTTTGTGTAGTTACAGTAGTTTTACAGTAGTGACAGTGTAGTTACAGTAGTTTTACAGTAGTTTTTGTGTAGTTACAGTAGTTTTACAGTAGTGAGAGTAAAAACAGAGTCACGTACCACTCCTCTGAATGAAGGGGGGATGAGGCCGCAGTAGATGGGGATGAAACAGCTGCAGACCAGAGCCTGAGACAGACAACAGGGTCAGATTAAACAGTATCACAGTGTTTGTCTAGTTTACTTTAAAGCCCCACTGCGGAACTTTAGCACAAGATGTTTTTTATCGCATGAAAATACACAGACAGATGCAGCTGACGTGCCATCTCCAGAAAGTTACAAAGTGATGCTTTAAATATTTGTCTTACTTTTGGCTGCTAGTTTAGCTTTGCTTTGGCTCAGTGTGACCTGTATGACCTGTAGGTGTCTCTGTATGACCTGTAGGTGTCTCTGTATGACCTGTAGGTGTCTCAGTGTGACCAGTGTGACCAGTGTGACCAGTGAGACCAGAGTGACCAGTGTGACCTGTAGGTGTCTCTGTATGACCTGTAGGTGTCTCAGTGTGACCAGTGTGACCAGTGTGACCAGTGTGACCAGTGTGACCAGTGTGACCTGTATGACCTGCAGGTGTCTCTGTATGACCTGTAGGTGTCTCAGTGTGACCAGTGTGACCAGTGTGACCAGTGTGACCTGTAGGTGTCTCAGTGTGACCAGTAGTGTGACCTGTAGGTGTCTCAGTGTGACCAGTGTGACCAGTGTGACCTGTAGGTGTCTCAGTGTGACCAGTGTGACCTGTGTGACCTGTATGACCTGTATGACCTGTGTGATCTGTCTGACCTGTGGGGGGCTCTGTATGACCTGTAGGTGTCTCTGTATGACCTGCAGGTGTCTCAGCGTCACCTGTATGACCTGTATGACCTGTATGACCTGTAGGTGTCTCTGTATGACCTGTAGGTGTCTCTGTATGACCTGTAGGTGTCTCTGTATGACCTGTATGACCTGTATGACCCGTATGACCTGTAGGTGTCTCTGTATGACCTGTAGGTGTCTCTGTATGACCTGTAGGTGTCTCTGACCTGTATGACCTGTATGACCTGTATGACTGTATGTCTGTATGACCTGTATGACCTGTAGGTGTCTCTGTATGACCTGTAGGTGTCTCTGTATGACCTGTAGGTGTCTCTGTATGACCTGTAGGTGTCTCTGTATGACCTGCAGGTGTCTCTGTATGACCTGTAGTGTCTCTGTATGACCTGTAGGTGTCTCTGTATGACCTGTATGTCTCTGTATGACCTGTAGTGTCTCTGTATGACCTGTAGGTGTCTCTGTATGACCTGTAGGTGTCTCTGTATGACCTGTATGACCTGTAGGTGTCTCTGTATGACCTGTAGGTGTCTCTGTATGACCTGCAGGTGTCTCTGTATGACCTGTATGACCCCTATGACCTGTAGGTGTCTCTGTATGACCTGTAGGTGTCTCTGTATGACCTGTATGACCTGTGTCTGTATGACCTGTATGACCTGCAGGCGTGTCAGGCGTCTCACCTGTATGAGCTCGTCCTTGGAGCTGAAGTGGGACACGAGCACGTTCTCTCCGTCGGAGACTCTGGTCAGGGACACGCAGAGGCGGCCGGACGCCTGGAGGTGGGCGTCTGCGGGCAGGTCCCGGCTCAGCCCGGAGCGGAGAACCTTCACCAGGTTGAAGGCCGGGTGCAGAGGGCCCAGGTTCCTCCGGCGAGCCTCTTTAGCCACGTCTATCACATCCTCACAACACTTAGCTGCAAAAACACACACAGAACACACACACACAAGTACGTCACACGCTTGTTTCTATGGAGACGACACCTGGAATGTTCCACAGTGTGACTTTAAACAGCTCAACTTTACATTTATTCAATCACAGGAGATTTTAACGCCCAAAAATACCTCGAAAAACAGACAAAGAATACTCCCTACAACATGTAACAGATAATACTCCCTACAACTGTACAACAACTCACCCTCATGTAACAGATAATACTCCCTACAACTGTACAACAACTCACCCTCATGTAAAAGATAATACTCCCTACAACTGTACAACAACTCACCCTCATGTAACAGATAATACTCCCTACAACTGTACAACTCACATTTATGTAACTGATAATACTCCCTACAACTGTACAACAACTCACCTTCATGTAACAGATAATACTCCCTACAACTGTACAACAACTCACCCTCATGTAACAGATAATACTCCCTACAACTGTACAACAACTCACATTTATGTAACTGATAATACTCCCTACAACTGTACAACAACTCACCCTCATGTAACAGATAATACTCCCTACAACTGTACAACAACTCACATTTATGTAACAGATAATACTCCCTACAACTGTACAACAACTCACCCTTATGCAACAGATAATACTCCCTACAACTGTACAACTCACCCTCATGTAACAGATAATACTCCCTACAACTGTACAACAACTCACCCTCATGTAACAGATAATACTCCCTACAACTGTACAACAACTCACCCTCATGCAACAGATAATACTCCCTACAACTGTATTGTTATGTAATATTTGTGTAATATTTGTGTAATATTTGTGTAATATTTGTGTAACGTTTTAGAGGCGGCTCAGTAGAACAGGACGTAAACAGGGGTGAGTTTTGTGCGATAATTCCGTATAAAAGTGGATTCTGTTCCGGAGCGTCTCGTGTGTTTGTTTCTTTATCTTTGTGAAGTAAAAACAGACGCTTCATTCAGTCGTTTATCTGTGACCTTTGACAACAACACACACTGACACACACACTGACACACACTAAAACACACACTGACACACACACTGACACACACACTGACACACAGACTAAAACACACAAGACAGAAGCTACAGAAGCAGGACAGAGGTTTTTAAACCAGAGTCACACACGAAAACTCAAACCTGATTCTGATTCTGATTCCACCGTGAAAATAAAATAAAAATCTCTTTCTTCAGACAAAATCCTGTGATTTTCCACTTTAGATGGAAGAATTTTATTTTCTGTTTTCTGTATATTTGTGTCTAAACCAGGACTAAACCAGGTCTAAACTAAACCAGGTCTAAACTAAACCAGGACTAAACCAGGTCTAAACTAAACCAGGACTAAACCAGGACTAAACCAGGACTCAACCAGGACTACACCAGGAATACCAGGTCTAAACCAGGACTAAACCAGGTCTAAACTAAACCAGGACTAAACCAGGTCTAAACTAAACCAGGACTAAACCAGGACTCAACCAGGACTACACCAGGACTAAACCAGGACTAAACCAGGTCTAAACCAGGACTAAACCAGGTCTAAACTAAACCAGGACTAAACCAGGACTAAACTAAACCAGGTCTAAACCAGGACTAAACCAGGACTCAACCAGGACTACACCAGGACTAAACCAGGACTAAACCAGGTCTAAACTAAACCAGGACTAAAACAGGACTAAACTAAACCAGGACTAAACTAGGACTGACCCAGGACTAAACCAGGTCTAAACAAGGACTAAACCAGGACTAAACCAGGACTAGACCAGGACTAGAAACCAGGACTGAACCAGGACTAAACCAGGACTAGACCAGGTCCAAACCAGGTCTAAACTAGGACTAGACCAGGACTAGACCAGGTCCAAACCAGGTCTAAACCAGGACTAAACCAGGACTAGACCAGGACTAGACCAGGTCAAACCAGGTCTAAACCAGGACTAAACCAGGTCTAAACCAGGACTATACCAGGACTAAACCAGGACTAAACCAGGACTAAACCAGGACTAAACCAGGACTAAACCAGGACTAGACCAGGACTAGACCAGGACTAAACCAGGACTAGACCAGGACTAAACCAGGTCTAAACCAGGACTAAACCAGGACTAAAGCAGGACTAGACCAGGACTAAACCAGGTCTAAACCAGGTCTAAACCAGGACTAGACCAGGACTAAACCAGGACTAAACCAGGACTAGACCAGGACTAGAGCAGGACTAAACCAGGACTAAACCAGGACTAAACCAGGACTAGACCAGGACTAGACCAGGACTAGACCAGGACTAAACCAGGACTAGAGCAGGACTAGAGCAGGACTAGACCAGGACTAAACCAGGTCTAAACCAGGGTTCTACTCTGTCTAGAAAATGGGACTTTTACTATTTACATCAAATTATTAAACGTTTTATTGTCTAAAAATCAGAAAATGCGCTGTTAGCATGCTAGTTCTTGTTAAGCAAATCTCCTAAAAGTTGTGAGAAGTTCGTGTAAACTCAGCTCTGAACGCACGACGGTAAAAAATCAAGTACGGCGCCTTTAAAGATGCACCGCGCAACTTTCCCGCTCGTCTCCATGGAGATGTCAGTGCTCTGGAATGTTCCGCAGTACGACATTAAACACGTCTAATCCAGCGTTTACACATCAGGGGCGTTTGTGTCGCTCAAAAATACAACAATTCTTCTTTTTAATCGGACTTAGACGGAACATTCTGGACAAGACAAGGCACTGACATCTCCATGGAGACGAGCAGGTGCAGGACACACTCTCTCTATGTCTCTGTCTCTTGGAAAAGTTCCGCAGTGCAGCTTTAAGCCACCGCAGGAAAAGTGAAATCCAAAACTAGAGAGACGTTCTGAAGGCGCGCTGAGTTTGAGGACATTATGTTCCGTTTGTTGAGGAGGAGGAGGATCTGAGGTGTGGGCATGACACTTTTCACCGTGTACAACAGAAAAAAGACAAAACTAACGAGGAATTCATCACATTTTAGTCAAGATTTAATTTTTTTTTACATTTTCGGTGTTAAATGTCGCACAAAACTGACTCGTGTGAGCTTTAAATCGTGTTCTAAAGTTAAAATTCCTTCTCAAAAACAGAGCTGAAGTTGTTTTGTTTCATTCACAAGTGTTTAAATAACTTTTTATATTAGTCTGTTAAAGTCAAAACGCTCTGTTCCACCTCGTGATGTCATGAAGTGGTAGTTTTGAAGTTAACAGCTTGTTTTTTTTACCTTTAATTCAGAAAAAATTAGCAGTGTTTTTTTCAGTCTGAGAGAAGAAAAAGACACAACTCCAGCTCTGTTTTTGAGGCGTAATATTTGATTTTGTTGACGCTTTTATCGACTCGAGACAAATCAGAACGACGGTGACCAGATTTTCAATAAATAAAACTGTAAATAAAAGTGAGAAAAGAGCGTGGAACTTTGCGGTGGAGTCTCGTGTCAGTGTCAGTCATGATCTGAGGAACTTCTGACACTGCATTTTTTTTATTTTTTTGTTTTGTGGTCATTCGCAAACACAGATTTATATATTTTGGCAGAAAAAAAAGACAATTTATGCTCCTGATTACTGTTGTCGGGGATCAAATGAGTCAAAAATTGAGATAGTCCTGCTTTAGACCTGTTGTAGTCCTGGTTTAGTTTGTCAAAAATATGGACATCTGGGACATTTCTTGTATAAAACTGGGATAAATCTGCTAGGACAGAGGACACAGGACTCAAAACTGGGACTGTAACAACTAGAATTTCCTAAAATGCAAGAAAAATACAAAATCTGAGGATGAACCAACATGAGGAAGTCACAGTTCCAGACCTACAAACAACAACGACACTGCCAATTTAAGTGTTTTTATGCATTCCCAGCTCCTTAACTAAGAATATTTTCTGTTTTAACTCAATTAACTATTACACTATGCATTTGTGACACTTTTATAACAAGTTTGCCATACTTTTTGCATTAATTTTTGCATTTTTAGTTGGAAAACCTCTCAAAAATTGTGAAATTGAGTTGTTTTGTTTCTCTTGCACGTGTGTGAGTAACCCTTTAGTACTATTATTATTATTACTAGTCTGTGTACATTTGCAAAGCTGCACCTCGTGACGTCATGAAGCTTGCATTTTCATAACAAATTACTTTTTACGTTACAGTTTTACGTCATTATTTTGTTTTTAAACTTTGTAAGATATAGTTTTGTTATTACAGCTCGTTATTACGCGTTTATTAGCACGACACTGACTGTTAATAATTAGTTTAGAATGTGTAATAATGCAGTTTTAGAGCCGGAGGTTTCAGCGGGGCGTCTTACCGATGCACGCCCGGCTCGCGAGCACAGAGGCGGTCAGGGCTCCGGCCGAGGCCCCGTAGATCTTGGTGGCTCCATGGACCAGGTACGGCGCTTTCTCCAGCAAACAGCTCGCTACGCCGATGTGGTAGATCCCCAGGAAGCCGCAGCCGGCGAAGGACAGGTTCCAGCCGCCGTTAAGGTCGAACATGGCGGGTCATGCCTCGGGTCCGGACGGCGGGGAGGAGCGGGAGAGCGCGGCCGGGAGAGGAGCTCGGAGGCCCGGGCAGAGAGGAGCGCGGAGGCCCGGGCAGAGAGGAGCGGAGAGAAGCTGCGGCGGTGACGGCGCGGCGGCAGAGCGGAGCCGCCGGAGCTTTAAGAGGCGCGGACAGAGAAGGGGGAGGAGCCACGAGACGCCTTCACGGACACACGGACAAAAACATTACACGGAAATGTTTATATTATTCTCTTATGACCTTAGTTACTCTGTTCAGCTATAAATTAACCCTTAATTAAGTAAGTACATAAGTAACTAAGTACATAAGTAAGTAAATACTTAAGTAAGTGAGTAAGTAAATAAGTAAGTAAGTAAATAAGTAAGTAAGTAACTAAGTACAGTAAGTAAGTAAGTAAATAAGTAATTTATTTATTTTATTTGAGACAGGGACAGTGCACAACTTTGACATTAACCTTAACAGGAGAGATGTTTGTACAGGTTGTAGCTCCTGTCGTCTCTGAGCAGATTTATTGATTGATTTGTATTTAACTGACCTTGACTATCAACTGTTCTTCCTGGAGACCGGGAGCATGTTTTTTGGGTTAATGGGGAAACCGGAGGAAACTCATCCAGACACAGGGAGAAACATGCAAACTCCACACAGAAAGGCCCGGGCGACCTGGGGATCAAACCCAGAACCTTCTTGTAGTGAGGCATGAGTGCTAAACACTCAGCCACCGTGCCACATAAGTAAGTAAATAAGTGAGTAAATAAGTAAGTAAATAAGTAAGTAAATAAGTGAGTAAATAAGTAAGTAAATAAGTAAGTAAATAAGTGAGTAAATAAGTAAGTAAATAAGTAAGTAAATAAGTAAGTAAATAAGTGAGTAAATAAGTGAGTAAATAAGTGAGTAAATAAGTGAGTAAATAAGTAAATAAGTAAGTAAGTAAATAAGTAAGTAAATAAGTGAGTAAATAATAAGTAAATAAGTGAGTAAATAAGTGAGTAAATAAGTGAGTAAATAAGTAAGTAAATAAGTGAGTAAATAAGTAAGTAATAAGTAAGTAAATAAGTGAGTAAATAAGTGAGTAGGTGAGTAGGTATGTAAATATGTTGTCTGCACGTGTAAGTCGTTCACTGTATAAAAGCTCGTTGTGTTAGATTAGAAGAGCAGGGGGTGGGATTAAATTTAAATTTAAATTTTTTTTCTTCCCTCCTGTTTGGGCAAATGTTTTGTTGTGGTTATTTCTGATTTATATGTAAGTTTCTTATTTGCCCAAAATAAATAAGAATCAAAAAAGTAAGTATTTTCAAGTTTTACGTAATGAACATTTACAAGAACACAGGAATTACACAGTCAAATAAAAACTTGTGTAAAACATCGTGTCTTGAGCTGTTTTTTAAAATAGTCTGTGCAGATCTGGGCATCGTGCAGCTTCGGGGCCACGTACGGAAATTTGATCGACTCTGAACAGCCCTTTAAAATCATGTTGAATTAAATTAAATTAACATTTTATAATTTTCCCTCATGCCTGGACTAAAGGTGACCAGACTTAACCCATCCCATCAGACCTCAGAAGCTCCGCAGGTCCGGGTCTGGTCAGGACTTGGATGGGAAACCAGTGGGAATTCCAGGAGCCACAGTGGGACGCCAGTGGAAAATAGAAAACTGTTGTTGTGTCCTTAGGCAAGACACTTCAGTAGCTCAGTTGGTAGAACATTCGCCCACTGGTCTGAAGGTTGGCGGTTAGAATCCAGCTCTCAAAATAAACATCGCGGGTTGAGCGTCAGATCCACTGACCCACAGGTTGTCGGTGTGATTCCAGCTCCAACAGATGAACACTGTCGTTGTGTCCTTGGGCAAGACACTTAACCCACCTCCCCCACAGTGTCTGCGTACACTGGGGTGTGAATGGTGAGTGGTTTCTTGTTGTAAAGGTCTTTTAGAGTCTTGAAGGTGGAAAAGCGCTGTAGAAAAATGTGACTATTTAATATTTCACATTCTGCAGAATTAAGTTCAGTATTTTGGCCTCCACAGTGAAAAAAAATTGCCCCCCCCCCAGGACCACAGCCTGAAAGCACAGCCATGTTTTAAATCAGGTCTTTGGGACCATCGAGACGCCCTGACCTGAGGACCTGAGGTGTGACCTGAGGTGTGGGGCACTTAAGGACCTTGATAAAAAAGACACTGGCACCACTGTAAAATTTTAAAGAAACAAAACCTATTTAATTTTGTACATTGTGCTGTAAAATCACAAATCACATTGTAAATATAAACATGTACATATCACGTACTTTGTTACGAAATATCCAGAAGATGAATTCACAGATGTTGAATCTGGTATTTTCAGTTATTCACTAAACTCAAGAACTCAATGTATTACAACATCTTTTTGCAGTTAAACAATATTAATTAACACACAAACAACTTTTCAAATACACAGAAAACTTCTCAAACTGTTATTTCTTACTGTCCACAAGTAGCTCCAGCGTCCGTGAAGGCAGCAGGAGCTTCTCTGATTCTGATTGGTCAAAGTTCATGTCCGTCAAATACCTTTCAACTTTCGGACCAATGAGAAGGCTCGGGGGCGTGTCCGAGCCCCGCCCCTCACACACATGTAAACACAGCAGTGACTTTAGCCCCACTTCTGCTCCTCAGAACATACTGTCCTCTCCACCTTCTGACATCATCAAGTGAACAGCTCCTTTTACCTTGAGTTCAGCAGATTTTGGCTTTGAGAGAAGAAAAAAAAAAAACACACAGCTCCAGGTGCGTTTGTGTCGAGGAAACTGCATTAGAAAGAAGTTCAGAAAATCACGTGACATGAGCAGTTTTAAAAGTTTGACGTGTTTATTTATGCATTTATTGAAATCAAGTAAGTTAAAAAAAAGTAACATAACTACTGCAATTTCTAGAAGATGAACCAAAATGAGGAAGTTGAGTCACACACTGCAAAAAACTAAATCTAGTCAAGTTAAAATGACATGAATTAAAAAAGTTTGATCATGATTTGAGTCAATTTCACTTGACGAGTAAAATTTTCTGCCAGTGGAATAAAACTTTTCTACTTAAAATATGAAAATACATGTTGCTGCACTTAAAACAAGAAAAACAGCAACTTTTTGCTCTTAAAATAAAAAACTGTTGATAAATAATTGTTGTTTGAATTAAGAAAAACACACTCATATGTCTCTTTTTTTTAAAATCTGTCAATGTCTTTTTTTTTTTTTTTAATCTGTCACTGTGTATTTATCTGTCTTTGTATTATTGACTTTTTTTCATTTGTTATTATTATTCTAATATTTAATTATTGCTATTATTATTAATCTATTTTATTTTAGTAGGATTATTATTTAGTTTTTTTGTTTGGTTTTGTTTTTTCTTGGGGTTGTTTTTAGAAAAAAATTGCACAAATATGATGTTTGGTTTACATACTTTGTAATTTGCTATTGAAATTTATAAATAAAATTGTAAAAAAAGAAAAAAAAAGAAAAGAAAAACACTTGTTCCATTGGTCGATCATTTTACTTCAAGTTGAATCGACTCAAATAAAGTTAAATGGTTTTATTTTAAGTCATTTTAACTTATCTATCTATCATATATATACATATATATATAGATTTTTTTTTTCCAGTGCAGAACCAGAACTATAAATGACAACATCATGTGTCCATGTGAGTGTTTTTATGTAATTATCAACTCCCCGAGCTGCAGAAGCTGCACTAGCACTGACTCAGGATCAGCTGCAGGTGTTCAGGGACAGAGTTCAGAACAGAGACATTTTAGGATTTCAGGTTTGAACCATCGACCCAAACGAGAGAGAATCACATGAGACTCGTTCTGTTTTGTGATTGGAGAATCGTCTGGAGCCATAACGACAGAAATAAACAGGCCACAGTGTCCAACGTTCATCCACAAACCCAAAGGTCAAAGGTTTGAATCCTGCTCTGCCAAACTCACAACTGGGACACACCTGGACTCTGGGGTCTGGGGTCAATAAAAGAGTGAAAAGAGCAAAGAGTGAAACTTAGTAGATTCATAATGTAGATTCATAATGTAGATTCATAATGTAGATTCATAATGTAGGTTCATAATGTAGGTTCATAATGTAGGTTCATAATGTAGATTCATAATGTAGATTCATAATGTAGGTTCATAATGTAGATTCATAATGTAGGTTCATAATGTAGGTTCATAATGTAGATTCATAATGTAGATTCATAATGTAGATTCATAATGTAGATTCATAATGTAGATTCATAATGTAGGTTCATAATGTAGATTCATAATGTAGGTTCATAATGTAGGTTCATAATGTAGGTTCATAATGTAGATTCATAATGTAGGTTCATAATGTAGATTCATAATGTAGGTTCATAATGTAGGTTCATAATGTAGATTCATAATGTAGGTTCATAATGTAGATTCATAATGTAGATTCATAATGTATTCATAATGTAGGTTCATAATGTAGATTCATAATGTAGGTTCATAATGTAGATTCATAATGTGTTCATAATAGGTTTCATAATGTAAGGTTCATAATGTAGATTCATAATGTAGATTCATAATGTAGGTTCATAATGTAGATTCATAATGTAGATTCATAATGTAGGTTCATAATGTAGATTCATAATGTATTCATAATGTTCATAATTCATAATGTAGGTTCATAATGTAGATTCATAATGTAGATTCATAATATTCATAGGTTCATAATGTAAATTCATAATGTAGGTTCATAATGTAGTAATGTAGATTCATAATGTAGATTCATAATGTAGGTTCATAATGTAGATTCATAATGTAGGTTCATAATGTAGATTCATAATGTAGGTTCATAATGTAGATTCATAATGTAGATTCATAATGTAGGTTCATAATGTAGATTCATAATGTAGATTCATAATGTAAATTCATAATGTAAGATTCATAATGTAGATTCATAATGTAGGTCATAATGTAGATTCATAATGTAGATTCATAATGTAGATTCATAATGTAATTCATAATGTAGATTCATAATGTAGGTTCATAATGTTCATAATGTAGTTCATAATGTAGATTCATAATGTAGGTTCATAATGTAGATTCATAATGTAGGTTCATAATGTAGATTCA